GACTTTAGGAACAGATTCTTTCTCTTTCTCGACTTTAGGAGTAGATTCTTTCTTTCTCCCTTCCTCTCCCTCTCTTTTTCCTTCTTTCCTTCCTCTAGTTTCTTGAGACAGGGTTTCTCTGTGTAGCCTTGGTTGTCCTGGAACTCAGTGGACCAAGGTGGCCTTGAAACACACAGAGATCTCTAACTCCTGAGATGTGCCTCCTGGGTGTGTGCCACCACCACCCAGCTTAGGTTCTGTTTTTCCCATCTTTGCCCCACAGCTCTTGCTGGTGGTCTTACTTCTCTCTGGTCCTCAAGTGAGACTGAGTTCTGGCCTTGGACGAGTGGGTACAAGACAGTGATGGTAGCCTGCTTCTTCCACATTTTCACCTGGGGGGCCAGGAAGACAAAGGGGAAGCTGGGCCAAGCTGATCTTCCTGAGGGAGCCAAATGTGGAGGTAGTCTAGTCCCCTCTTCTCTACAGAGAAGGGCTGCCACCTGGCACACAGAGCTCTGAAGGATGATGATGGTTCATCATCATCATCCAGGTAGACTTGGTCATCTTCACAGTTCACCAAATAATAAATGAGTTCACCTCCTTTCACAGTAGATCAATTCTTTTCTCTTCCCTCAAGAGTTCCAGTATGATTTCACTCATCTAATCCACAGTATTTCCTTTGTCCCTACTGTGTACCAGAAGTATGTTGCAAGTACAGTGAACAAAAGCCTGATAGGGTTTCTGCTGAACCCCCCCCCCACCCCGAGACAGAAACAACACACACACACATACCCTACACATGGATATGACTGCCCCATTGTGTCAGAACAAGTGAGGACATCTGATTCCTCAGACAGGTATGAAAGAAGATGGGGGAGAACCCAGGGTAGGCCCAGGTCTTGAAAGGGACAGCAGGATGTCATCTGAGGCTAAGAGGGACAAGGGCCCATCAGGGAAGCAGGTGCTAAGCAACAGGATGTCACCAAAAGGTTCTAAGCCAAGACTATGGGGGTTAAAGGGTGGAGTGGGGCTGTATGCTTGGCAGTGGCCACAGGGGACATAGAAAGACCATCCAGTACCTCAAAAGAAGTCAGCAGCCAAGAGCTGATCCTCATGAACACAGAGTTCCAGAAGTCAAGGGAAGAATTGGAGTCAAGAAGGCCCAAGGGACCAAAGATGTTGTGTGCTAGAAGACGGAGCAGGAGAACACCAACTCAGGTGCAGTGGACACACATGGAGAGAGCCTCATGATTCCAAGTGTGGCTGTGCCCAGCCTCTCATCTCACATTTGGCCAATCTGTTTTTTGCAGAATAACTGGCTCAAAGAAATTGAGAAAATTTTCACAGTGGGCAGGATTCCAGATTTTCCTTCAGCTAATTAAGTGATATTAGGGAGGTTGTAAATGCCACGTAAAAATTGGCAAGCAAGCTGCTCCTAATGATGAGGATATTGCTTCACAGGGTGATGCAGCTGCAGCTTCTTAGTGCTCATCGTCAGGGGACCCGATTCTGCTTTCAAGGTTGTTCCAGAGTGCTGGAAGGTTGTAGCTACTTCCATACATACTCTGGTCCTCAGTCCCAGGAATACTTGGATACTGGAGGGCAGCAGAATGGGCTAGACAGTCACAGGGCCATTGTCATAATGGCTAAATGCTTGAATTTTACAAAACACTGAAGCAATGTTTCATACTCAGCATCTGGTTTGTCTCTACAATGATACCATGAACCTCAAGTATCTCCCTTCAGGAGGCAAAAGAACCGAGGTGCAGAGAGGCCGTTGCCTGCCCAAAGGCACACAGCATACAAGAGAATTAGCCAATCCATGGTGCGACACTCTGATAGACTTAAGAAGTGAGAGGAGGGCAAAGGAGACAGCTAATGTGGAATATAAAAATCAACATCTCAAGCTCATACACAGTCACATAGGGTGAGTACTTACTGGCTGCTTAGAACAACACAGCACAAAAAGCACCCCAAGCCAGAGCCTGCAAGCCTTTCAATTCGAAGTCCAGTGATGAGGCATTTATGCTGATTCAGGGAGGGGCAAGTCTATCTACAAGACATTGTCTGCCTACAAGGAATTGCCTGCCACGTGCAATTTCCATTGGCTGTTTACTCATCCTGAGACATGAAAGACTTGTGGGGCTTTAGAAGTGTGGAGGTTAAGAAATGCTTGGCTGTGCTGAGCTGGGCAGATAGAGCCAGCACTTAGCAAGCTATCCTCCCCAACCAAGCACAGTCACATCTAGAAAGGAAGAGGAGGTTTTAGAATGCTTACCTTGCTTGATAAAATGGGAAATACTAGGTAACACTTTGATAGGGATGGACTGAGAGAACTGATACAAGTAAAATAAACTTATTTAAGAACAGGTTAACTATTGAGACTGCCATTCCTCTATTAATTCTAAAAAGAAATGAGCTGAGAACAGGGACGGAGGTTGGATACTGATGACGCTGTTGCTGATGACCACACTGGAGGTGATAGCTGAAGCTGGGAGAACTGGCTTGGGAAATATTTCACCCAGGGTGAGAGATTTAAAAAATGAAGATTCACATTTGCACACTGTCAGTGACACTGGCTTTGTTATTTTAGAACCATTTCCCACCAGTGAGAAGGGAGGAATCACAGCCCTCACAAAGCATATCCTTGGGCTCATCTCACTCACTCACGCCTAAGCAGACACCCTGGCCAACAGTCCAACTGACCTTGCACGGCAGACAGGCCCCCAGGCCCCAGGCCAACATACCTTCAATGACGATGGCAATTTTAGAGGAACCCACGTAGTCCTTTTTGCTTCCCAGGATCTGCTGTTTTTGTGATGAATGCTAAGGGGCCATTCAATATTTTACCAACAGCACCCGTGAACATGTACATGTAGATGTTTGGGATGGGGACTTTTTTGACAGGTTTGTGTGTAGGTGCCAGAAAAGGTTTTGTGACTCTGACTGTATTCCTATGTGTAGAGAGATGTTTACTGCTCCCTTTCAGACCTGAGGGTGGGGAAGCTGATAGAGACCTGACTAGTAAGGTCTCCTCTAGAGATGTTACTTTTCTTTCCTGGTGGAGGATGACAGGCTCACGTCGACTGGACTTTGCTAGCAGGCAGACACCATGGGCTTGAGTACAGTGTTTGCAATCCTGCTTTCTGCAGTGAACTGCAGAAGATGGGAGCAGAGCACTTGAGGACTTGGTGCCACTCCTGCACTCATCTGGGCCCGACAGACAGAACCCAGTCTCTTTCTTAACAAGCAGTTTTCCTAATAATAATAATCATGGCCATAGCAGGCCCAACTCTTTGTACTTTGTGAGGTTTAATGGACTTTTCTTTGCAGTTCTCAAAAAGCAGCAATTGGCCTTTGCTAGAGTCCTGATGGAGAAGTGTGGACAATCTGTCAGGTTCTCCTGCCACTCACCCCGGCCACAATTATACAGTTCATGTGCAGATTAGCTGCAAAGTCATTCCTCTTCCAGGAGTGACAACGCTTTCCCAAATACAAAAAAGTGCCTACTGTTTCTTCAGTCTGTGTTAGAAAGCCAGGGGCGGGGTGCGTGGTTGAGAAAGGCCTTCAAAAGAAGGGCACAACAACAGAAAAGGGCTGTTACAGCGTGGTGACATGGTAAGAACAGAGAGTGGCATAGCTACTCAGAGTAATCCTGTGACACACTGCTGTCACTCATTGCCTTGCTCCCTGCTGTGCCAGCCAGACATCAAAGGCTGCCCCATACCATCTTACATGCTCTTTAGCAGCTAATCAGCCCATTCTTTCCCGAATAAAGCCCTGTTCAATCAGCTGCTCACAGGGGTATAGTAGTCTTGGTGCCCATCTGCTAGCTAGGGTCAGCTGAGACATGGGGTGGCAATCGCTCTCTCTCCAGTGGCCTCTCATAGTAAGGCCAATGCCGCCACTGAATCATTTGCTTCCCAGGACCCCATCAGAAAGGAGCTGGAAGAAGTCTGAGTCCCCTGACTCTAAGACCACTCTCTACACACGGCAGCCCCTCTCCCCTCTGAAGCCAGGTGCTGCCCAAGCTGCTGAAGCAATGAGTGCTTCCTGCTGAAAGAGCAGGACAGACGGCGTGGGAATAGCCGCAAGCACGAGGTTGCCTAATCTCCAAGTCAGGGCAGAAAAATGGTAGGGTAGCATTTGTAACTAACATGCAGAAAAGGGACAGACAACACAGTAAGTAGCCAAGCATTTAAGGAGTCTACATCAAAACCTAGACAAGGGAAGCAAGGTTTCCATACTTTTTCAACACTCACTTATTCACTGTACTCTCCTCATACAGGCCACCCTACAGAGGTGCCCCTATCTCAGTCCCCCTCTAGAGCACTCTCTGAGTCTCCACTCCTCAGGCTATGGTGAGAGACTGGGCCTGACGCTTAAGGAGAGAAAGCAGACAATCTGCTGAACAATCATTAACTCAGCTCAGTACTGTGGGACTGGACTCAGGGACAAGCCTAGTCCTTGACTGCAGGGACTCAGGACAACTGACCTCAAAGGTCATTTCTGCTTACCTGGACATTTCTTTCACAAGGATCCCTTGGACAACACAATCCTGCGCCCAGATATGTATTTTTTAGAGAAAGGGCAAGGGTCTATGGCATTTGCCTCTGTAAAACTCAGCACCTGAGGTGTATCAGCACCATGGATAGCTATACAGTTAGGGTACAGGCAGCTCTTGGACTCTAAGCCCTCAGCCCTATTCCACTCTACATCTCACAAGGACAAGGACTGCTTCCCAAGCTAATGATATGGAACACACCAGACGCCTCCCAAGTTACTCTATTGGGACAGGAAGGCAATTCAAAAGACCTGTCTTTCTGCTCAGCAATCCTCACAATGTTTCTGTCCAACTGAATTTTTGCAGAATTAACACTAGCGGTAATTTAACACACACACACACACACACACACACACACACACACACACACACACGACAGAAGCGCTGGCATCAGCCTTCCAAATGACCTCACTCGCTACTGTAAACAGCCTTGCACACAGTCTAACTGACATTTTACCTTTTCCAGCTTTCTTTCTTCTTCTTAACAGCAGAGACACTGAGGTTTCTAGGAGCATCTCTTAGCCCGAAACTCTTAGCCACATGCCCAAGGTGTAGGGATCGGACATGGAAGATGGGCTTCAGCTCCCTGGGGTAGGTTGCATAGGCTCGGATGAAGGACTGCAAGGCTAGACGAAAGGAGGAGGAGGAGGAGGAGGTCAAAATAAGGGTTGTGAAGTCTCAAGTCCTATGTTACCTTATTTTATCTTGCCAAGAATGAGAACAGAACCAAGACAATTACAACACAGGCAACCTGAAGCCACTCTTGTGCATGTTCTTAAAATCTCTAAAAGGGCTGAGGAGATATTCAGTGGTTAAAAGGACATACTGTTCTTGCAGATGACCTCAATTTGGATCCCAGCACCTACACAGGACAGCTCCTAACAGCTATTAACTCCAGCTCTGCAAGGATCTGATGCCTCACCAGGCAACTGCACTCACCTATGTATACCCATACACAGATACACATGCATAATTAAAACAATAAAGAAGTTTGAAAAAAACTTCCAAATAGCTCAAATCACCACTCAAATAAATCCTATAAAATTAGCCTCTGCTGAAGAGTCTGTAACAATCCCACAGTGCAGGGCCTGTTTACTCTTTTAAATTCACACAGTCTCAAGGCCTACCACAGTGCCTGGCATATAGCACGTACTTGATACCTGTTTGTTAAATGAATGAAGAAACTGAGCAATCAACATTTTCTTACAAAAATGAGAAATTTCTAAGATACTTATATTTAAGGGAAAAATCAGCTATTTTTTAACAATTAATGCATTCAAGCACGCAAAGGAGAAAGTAAATTATAAAAACTAAAACAGTGCAGATAACAGTTGACCACGGTGCCTGCTACCAGTCTGGAGAGTCAAGCTGCAAAGCTGCAGCTCCACTTTAAAGTGTGGAGGAATTGGTTCCTTATCCTAGACCCCAGAGCAGATAGAAAAAGAGCTGGGCTTTATTCCTGGGTGCTCAAGCTTTGGCTGGGCCTCCGTGCCTTAACCAGACATCCCCTTTGAAGATAGACTTCCCATATCTGGCTCCTCTTTGAATATCCCACAAGAGAAAGTGAGAGCCCCTTGCCTCCCCTCTGTCCTGTAGGGAGATGATCTACAATGCATTCTGCCCATCATTGCTCTTTTTTGTTTTCAAGATGGGGTTTCTCTGTGTAGATCAGGCTGGCCTCAAACTCAGAGATTCATCTGCCTTAGCCTCCTGAGTGCTGGGATCAAAGGCCTGTGCTATCACTGCTCTTTTACTTTCACAACAGCTCCTCTACCAGGAGGGCTGGAACCATCCCCGTACCACTGACGAAAGAGGCACCAAGCACCAGCCTGCCTCACCTAGGTGGTTGAGCCACTGGACTGGCAAGTTTGCCCACAGCTTAAGTGTAATATCCCAGCAGCACCTGGAGATTGCCGTTTATGAACAGTAATAAAAAGTGTCATTTTAGCAGATCATCTCCTGGAAGGATCCTGGGAATCCATCAAAGCTCTATTTACTGAGCAAAGTGAACTCCTTTTCCCAATCGATGAGAAATAATAAGCACAGCAACTCCTCTGCACTTCTCTCTTAAATCTGTGTTCACTTCCCTTCCAATAACCAGGGACCAGCTTTTTCAAAGAGCATCTTTAACACTTCAAATGGCCTGCACTGTCTGGAGGCACCGGCCCCACCCACAGGGACTCACATTCTCAGAAAGGAACTTGCTGGCACTGCAGTGACCACCAAGACCTGACTCCTCTACTTTCTTCCCCCCCCCCCCCAATTTCAACACCTAACTCTGGTCTAAAACATCCCACTGAGCCAAACCAATCCAAGAATCTGGGCTCCCTGAAAGATACCCACATCTTACTTCCCGCCACTCTTCCACATAAGCAGCAGAACCCTAGGTCTCTGGTTGGCTCACAAACATCCTCTCCTAGACAGCACACACTTCCAGGAAGGAAGCAAGTAGGAGATGTAGGGGCCCAGCTAGAAGCTTTACATGGAAGCTTTGCATTGCTGAGCCATGGCAGGAGATACTTCCACCGCAGACATCAGCCCAGGCAGCACTTCACACTGCATATTTTAACTAAACCCGCCTGTCCTCCAGGTTCCCATGTCACTATCAACAACAGCAGCTGGCTGTCCTTGCACACCTGCATGGACTTCCATGTCTGGCTAACTCTGAGACAGCAGGGGCAGGAAGTGGTTCATGCTGGCAGTGTCTAAAATGTACAGAAGGAATAGGGCTTTGGGGCCAGCACAGCAAAAAGTCGAGAACTGGAAGAAGACATTTATTCAGGGTGACGGATGGAGCTACAGGCAATGAAAGTTGAGCATTTTAGTTGGCAGCTCTTATTTTCAGGGAACTATTTAAGGTACATGAATTAGAGGGAATCTGTTTAAAATAATCTACCTGGACATTTTGTCCTTTTTCATTCATGGGCATCTGGATCAGGAATGGGGGTGTCATACAGATTACTCCTAGGATAAGAAAGCAGAGGAACAAAATTCTTCCTGCCCCACATCACAAGCCCAGTCTGATACATCACAAAGCACACACACCTATACCAACAGCTACATTATTCAAAGGATGTGAGAAAAGAAATGCCTTGGGGAGGGGCATGTGTGAAGAAGGGGGAGGGAGGATGGGACTGGGAGGGGAGGAGAGAGGGCCTTATGGGGGGATACAAAGTGAACAAACTGTAATTAATAAAAATAAATAAGTAAATAAACAAACAAACAAACAAATAAATAAAAAGAAATGCCTTGTTACAGTTCTCTTAAAGACGAAGTACTTGGCAACGTTCCCGGCCAACCATCCCAGTGAGGTATGGAGGTAAATGTATTATCATGAACAAGTGTCCCTTTCACACACAGGTGTAAGGGCCACCCATGATCCCTACTCTGCAAGGAGGCCAGAGTGCGGATGACAGAGCATGGGAACAGGGGCACAGGTAGGCAAAGGACTCTGCTCTCCAAAACTTTCCTTCAGAGTTTAGAATGAGAACACATTACCACGATTTCTGCAGCCTGAACCCTAGCTAAAAGACACATAGAGAGGTAGAAAAGGAATAACTCTTTTAGAGACTGTCAACAATTAAACTATTAACAATGATGGGGTCAAAGAATGAAAAAGGACAACAAATACTTACTTGGCCCAGTTTCTACCTAGTTTTCTGCCATAAAGACAAGGCCAGCTGCAGCATTAATTATGCATGAGGTAGGTTCTGCAATGGCTCAGATTGGAAGCACGTTGGTTGAGGAATTTGCATACATAAAATGAAATGCAAAAGGTAAGTATCAACCCATGGGGTACAAAGGCTTTTCCTATATCCTAGGTTCAGTTTCTTTAGAGCAGCAGTGGGGACATTCCCCGAAATCTCCAAAGTCACAATCCTAAGGAACAGGATAGGTTAGTGAAGAGCTTTGTGTTCAAGGTAGGTGACTAAGATCTAAGGGGTGAGGGCAGCTGGTTCCAGCCCTTATCAACCCGGAGTGAAAATCAATTAGCAAACAAGAGAAATGATCTACACAGTTCTTCTTGTACTAAATAGCATAAACTCAGGAAGCAGCTCTGCTCCTACAGCTTCAATAGCAGGCCAGTAACTCTGATGACAGACAGTACCCCTAGTCCCAGTCTCTGACAGCTGCTTATCAACTTTCAAGATAAGAAAGTGATACTTGAATAAAACAAAACGGGGTGAGTGTTTCTCTTCTGAAGGAAGGGAGGTTCTGGAAAGTCCTGCCAGGGTCTGGGAACACCACTGACAACCAAAGTGGATGGTGTGGGCAGGTATCTTTCTTTCCATTGCAATGTCATTATCGACCCGGATTCAGCTAAGTCAGCTTCTTCCTCCAAAGGTCAAAATCAGCCACAGTCCTTGGTTCATCTACAGGGAGGTTCTTGGGAACTACTGGGAATTGCTGGAGACAGGATATTATTAGAGAAATGACTAGAAGGACATACATCAGTTACACATATGGTTGGTGATGACGTGCTTCCATTGCATGCAGTTCTGTCTGAAGCGTTTTGACAATCAAAACACTGAGGATTATTAATACGGCAATCTCAAAACATTTGTTTGCCTTTTTGTTGCTGTTGTTAGTGCTTGTGGCCGGAGCTCAGGAACCTTGTGCTCTCTGGGCAAGTGCTGACCACTGAGCTCCATCTCCAGTCCTGCTGCTGTTTTTCACACCTACTGCTTGCTGCCTGCTCACAGTAGCCTAATCACCAGCTTTCACCCTTAGCCCATGGTCAAGTCTCACAAGGTAGCCAGGTGGTCTTTTAAAACCTATGGCCCACTGAACCACAGCTGGGCTCAAAGTCTCCCAACGGCTCCCAGTTCACTCAGGGTAACACTATAGACCTCAGAGCAGCCTCCAAGCTCTCCATGATTCTGTCTCAGCTAACCACTCATGTGCTTAACCAAAACTTCCTTCCTTCAGAAGTTAACACATCCCGTTTTATTTTGCTCAAGTATCACCTCTCCCTTAGCGGACGTATCTTTCTGTAGTTTGTACCACTATCTAAAGCTCTCATTCACTGTGTTCATTATGTCACAGCTGCTCCCATCCCCTACAAAGCAGAGGATGCATTCCACTTGCCTCCTCCACTTGCACTGAAGCACCTGGAATAGTGCCAAACTCTAACACTGCCAAGTAAATTATTTTTTAAAAGGTACTTCTAGCTGTGAGTGGTGGTACATGCTCGTATTTCCAGCATTTGGGAGACTGTGGCAGGAGGGCCCCAAGTTTAAGACCTGCATGGGCTTGACATATAGTATGACTCTGCCTCAAAACTAAACAAAAACTGTTTTGTTTTGTTTTTTATTTTTTATTTTTTTATTTTTAAAAGGAAGAACGATAGCCAGGCCAGGTAACACTTTTACTTCTAGCACTCAGCAGACAGATAAACTGCTTGTGAGTTTGAGCCCAGCCTGGCCTACAGAATAAGTTCCTGTCTTTTTATTAAGCTTCATTTTCTTCTCAAAAATCTCAAGGAACTGCCAGGAGGGACTGTGCACTTCTCCAACTTGGGTCTTTTTGCTTGCTTGCTTGCTTGTTTGTTTGTTTGTTTGAGACTGGGTTGCTCTGTGTAGCCCTGGATGTCCTTGGAACTCACAGACCAGACTGGCCTCAAACGCAGAGATCTGCCTGCCTCTGCCCCTAGAGCGCTGGAATTAAAGGTGTGTGTCACTACCCAGTCCCAATTCAGGTCTTATTAGCATAAATTAGTCACCAGCCAGAACAACTCACTAGGAAAAACAGTTGGCTGTTATGAGCCTTGCTCAAGTGGAACTATTAATTCTGCCCCCAATACTGGGATCTCAGGGGCTAATTTTTTGTACAAAGTGTCTCATAGCTATATTAATATCACTTCTATGAACTATCCTGGTTTGTGGTCTATGGCCCTTCCTTACCTCACCATTCTCATTTTCATTAGTACCTCCAAATAGGAACTCCTTAGGCTTAATGCTTCCAGCTCTTATATTCAACTTCAATTTCTATCCCTACAACTATTTCTGCTGATGTGTCATCTCTGTTGTCTGGTATTCAAAGACAGAGAAAAACAGATCCCCAAGATTCAGGTTGTTGGGTCAAAGCTCTAGTCCTGATATAAGCCAAGATAAAGCCTCATTTTTGCAAAAGATGGAGACGGATGAAATTAACATTTAATATCACTTTAAAGCCTTCCGAGCTGCTTCCAAACCCTACAGAATTACTACAGAACGAAGGCTTTGATTGGTACACAGAGGTCCCTGGATGCCCTCTCAACCATGGAAGTGTGTGGTGAAGGGTGAAGTCAGCACCTTGTGGGGCTACCCCACCCCCAGTCTCCTGAGAGTTCCACTGACCTTTCTTTGCCCAGGAGACCATCTTCTCACTGGAGTGCACGTAATCTTCAAACACTGTCTGCAATACTGTGGCTCGCTCTCGGATTTCCTGGGGGCCAATGGCATGGGATTTCTGGGAGGTGACGGAAGGATTAAAGGAGAGACAGAGTTGAAGTCAGGAATAATGAAGCAGTTTATAATAGATTTAATAACAGTAAAATCACACGGTAACCACCCAGGGGCCAACGAGGGTAATCCTTTCAATATTACTAGGGAAAGAAGGGAGCTATGAAGATGTTAAAGTCAAGCAAAGATGAGGATGGCATAAAGAGGGAGCAGACCAGGTCTATTTATTTGTTTGCTTACTTCCTTCACGATCTCTTATCACTTATCACTCATGTTCAAAGTGAAAGACCGTTGGAGACACTCTGCTAGTCTAATTCTCGCATTTTAAGTGTTGAACACACGCTGTGTTCAAATAATTCTTCTCTTCTAAGTTCTTCTCTTTTATCCCCCATCAGTGGAAAAGGCATTTTCTCTCCCTAAGGCCATTCCAGTGATCTGCCTAAAAGTCAGCCTTACAGAGCTATATATCCCTGAATTTTGGGCTTCCTCCCTTCCCAGAGGTTGGCTGTGAGTGGTTTAGATTGCTCCAGAAGCCCGTAACTGCCAAGATGAGTTCTGAGGACCTATTAAGAAGGAGGCTTTTCAGTCAGCCACACTCAAAGGCTGCCTGAATCTCTGCAGCCAGGAACACCACTGTAGCCACCGAAAACTATCAATAACATGTAGGACCATTTTCATCTTTTAAAAGTCCCTAAAAAAAGATGTGTTAAAAACTCCTAGAAAGTAGTGATTTTTATTTCCTCTGTCTTACAACAAACACAGGTGCTTTTTACTGAACAAGAAGATCCTGCAACCTAGGGAGGAGGATCACCCAAGTGCAGCTACTCATGTGAAGGGGCTGCTGAGGCCCAGATGCCATCCTCCTATATGGGACCTAGGCATCCTCCCAGCCCTCAGAGGACGGGTGTGAGCACCTGTGTCTGGCTGTGTGTGTCTCCCCTTTCCTTTTAAGGAAGAACTAGAGTGAGAGGAGAGAAGGCTCTTTTTGGGTAGACACTCGTCTCTGCATTAATAGAGACTTAACAACCTGAAAATGGTTTTGGTGTAGTCACATCATCCTGCTACCTGTTTGGCTGATGACAGTCTGGCTGATTTCACAGTACACGGTCCCCCTAAGGGGTTTTATCCACTACAATGTCAGGAGAAGCGCCACTGAGGAGCTGTGTTACCAAAGTGGACATTTGCTATTGTCATTAGCAAGGATTTTTTTCACCCCTTAACTGATGTGAAATGCAAACTTCTCTGCTGCCCTCCTTTCGTTAAGCCACCTCAGCAGCACAACTGTCACCTTGCCTGCATTTTTTTTAATATGAATGTGAAATTAGTGAGGATGCCCTTTCCCCTGGCGGACAGAATCCTCTGTTATTAAAAAGTAAAGCACTTTAATAATGAAAACTTTTTCCTCTTTTTCCTGTGTTTTAACTGTTTAAAATTAATGAGAAGGGCAGAATGGTTGTCAAAGCGATATTGAAAGCCGGGCAGCCAGGACCGAATAAGCACAAAAATCCCTCTAGAGTGTTAAATAAACAGAGCTGCAGCCCTCTCTGGATCCCTCTGTTGGTTATTGTATACATTCTGTAACAGCTCTCAGAATAGATCTGAGAGCCAGGGAGGCAGAGAGGTTTCAGAATTCCAATAAAGGCCTCAAATTAAAGACAGCCTGGTGCGAATTCCAGGAGAAAATTAAAGAGACCTCAAGCTTAAGTGACAGGTGACTTGCTTCTGTGTCACAACTGTCAGGGGATTTAGTGATAATATGGCAATATATTACAAAGGGCTTTTCTTATTCCCCCCTTTAGGTTTCAAAATGAGGCATCTTTTCTTCCCAACCAAAAAAAAAATTACACATATATAATATGAGTGTATATACAAGTGAAATGTGTAGAAAAATGGTAAAATCAGGCTCACACAGTTAAAATGATGAGGTCAGTTTTAGGGAAATGTAAGAAAAAGTTAATGACAGAAAACAATACATTTAGAAAGAAAGCATGTCTTACCAACAATCCAGAAAACACTCTAAGACTGGCCCTCCTGAGAATGAACAAGGTGATTTTTGGTTGTGGAGAGGACAGTCTAAATTTAAACTGAAGACAGAATGGGGCAGAGTTCGGCAGTGCCACCTCAGCCCTAGACAGGTAAACGCTCCTGTAATGAGAGTGGGTCAGAGCCCCGAGGCTTGTGAGCAGGCAGCACTGCCTCTCCTACCCTCACAGACACAGGCTGGCTACTGGTTAATGAAGCCAACCTGCAGCAAGCGGACCACAGGCAGTTGAGAAAAACATGTTTCCAGCCCCCTACTGGCTCTCAGTGCGCCTCTATCTGCAACACCCCACTGATCCTCGAGACAAAAGATCAGGAGAAAGGATGAGCTAGTGGCTCTGATCTGATTTTAACACTTCCCAATGCCAGCGACAGTTATAAGCAGAGTTCACAGGACAAAAAAAACAAAAAACAAAACAAAACAAAAAAACTTGCAGAAAAACATGCTGGGAGGGTACACACTCTGCATGAAAACTTCACAATGTTCAGAAGCCGAGAGACGCCTTGGAGAAAACCAGGCTGGACAACTCTGTGAGAAGTTTCAGGTGGTGGAGTGGTGAGCAGGGGTGTGCACAGTGGAGGCATTGTGCTGAACAGCCAACTTCCAAGATATATTTAACTAAATGTAAGGGTTTTGTTTTAATCACTCTCCTGCCAAGCTAAGCTTTACCCCTGGTTCCCAGAACCTTCTGAGTACCTCCCAGTCAAGCTGAAAGATCAAATTTATTCTCTTTGTAGGAAGGTGAACACTCACACCCAGACACAGCTGTATATATATTTCATATACCTAAATATGAAATATACATTTTACAGATGCTCCACTAGCTTTCTTTCTGTTCACAGAAGCCCAAAACTGTGTGTGCCAAAGGGACATTTACCATGGGCTTGAGTGGAGCTGGTGAGGAAGAGGAGATTGTAATGAGGTGTAGCATTTGTATTCTGGCCACTTGTGCATCTGCTTCAGAGCTGTCTGCACTGCAGGGAGAGGGTAGCCGGGACAGGTACACTTTTCATGAGAAACAGAATGGAAGCTGGACCCAGCACCTGTCCCAGCTAGATATCTATGTGATTAATAATATGGCAACTTACAGGCATCTTTCCTTTGAGTTAAAATGAAGCTTGTTCTTACAAGTTAGGTCTCAACGAACAGGAAGTGTAAGAGTGATGAATTTAGTTTACCAAGCTAATCGTATCTGGCAATGTCAGTGAAAACCCAGTATTGCTTAGCATTCCTCCTCACACAAACAGCAACAAATTATAAACTATAAAAACACTAAATGCATTGCTATCACAAGGTGGGAGCCTCGAGTGAGCTGGGGAGATGGTCGCTGCTCTGGAGAAGTTACATGGCTTGAAAGCACACGTTCTTCCTGCCTCATTTCATGAAGCCCTCAGGCAACCCTCAAATAAGGGCATCCTCATTCTCCTTCTACAGACAGGAAGACTGAGTTTAGGAGTAAGAAAATCTGCCCAAGGCCACAGAGGTACCAGCTGTGAGGCAAAGACTCAAGTCCAAGCTGGCTTGACTCTTGCCCAGACCTTTAGAATGGCTCTCAGGGCTCAGTGCAGTCTTTGAGGCTGGCCCCCAGCCAGGAAAAGGCTTAAGGAGGAGAACTAATGCTGTGAGGCCACAGAAGGGCAGATGTTAAAAATGGCATGGCCAGTTGCTGAAAGGGTAGAAGAAAATGCAGCATGTACCCCTATGGAGTGGGGGTGGGGTGCTGGTTCAGACCAACACAAAGATCACCTCCCCGGAGAAAAAAAGTCTGTGTTCAAGGATAAAGACTCAAACCAAAACTGGTCCCAGAAACAATCTACAGAAGGCTAAGTTTGATCTAACTTTTAGGATTTCATCTTGTTATTTTCTAGATGGTTCTCATTTCTGGATGGTGGGCAGATGCTCATGTTCCATTTATTTATTAAGCTACAACACTTCCGGGACAGTATGGCAACTACACTGTGTAGCCTTCTGTACTGAGTACACCCAGTGCTTTAAGACTGCTTCTTACACTATCCTCCTTTCTCCTTAGAAGAGTACTGTATACCCCAACTTTATGGATAAAGAAGCTGAGGCAAGCAAAGGCCCAGGACTTGCCAGAGCTCCCCAGAGGCACCAGCTGAGGAGCCTGACCCAGGTACCTGCTCTCAGACACTGTCAATACTGCATCCCTGCTGACACTGTGGAGCTGGAACCACAGTGAACTAGCCACAGAAACATTCAAACAAAAACTACGCACAACAGTTACAGAAAAACAGAGGTGTGCAAAGACCACATCTATGTCAGCTGCTCAATCCCTTAAACACAGACAAATAAGCTCACTCTAGCTTAGCTGTCATGTTTCAACATGGAAAGTCACTTAAAATACTTTTTTGATCAACTGCATCTTTAACAGCCTTTTCAAGTCACAAGGATCTGTGTTGTGGTATCATTTACTGACCAAACTTCATCTCTGTGGAAACATCAAACAGCTACTAAAAAAAAGTTCAGTGCGGTGTGTGGCTCCACTGTAAAATGCAGTATATGCCACGGGCTTGGGTGGATTGTCAGTGCCTCTGGAAAAGAGCATTTTAAGCTAGTCATGTAGTGCATGCCCACACTCTCAGCGCTGCTGAGCCAGCAGGACCCTGAGTTCAAAGCCAGTCTGGGTTACATAGTAATACCCTGTGTCACCAAAACCCCAAACAAAACAAACAAAAACCCCTACAACTGGTGGTACACACCCTTAATCCCAGCACTTTGGAGGCCTAAGAAAATAAATGTAAAATATTCAAGTAAATAGCCAAGTCACATAGAGCAACACACATGTGCATACACTACATCGAAATGGACTAGCGGGCAGGGCCGAAGGGCAGCAGGGAGGGGATGCTCAGGCCTGCACAGCTCACTATCTCCATATGGAGCTGCATGGATAGTTAACATTTTTCTTCTTAATGATCTCAACCTTACTCTTCCTCTGTGGACAGTGCACTCACATTTAAAAAAAAAAAAAAAAAAAAAGGACAATCTAAGTATGTCTGAGAGAGAGACAGAGATATTTATTTCTTCATGGTGCTATAGATGGACAGGTCTAGTGGTCCTCGCTGATGATCTGGGGAGGGGCCACCACCTGCGTGAACTTATAATGCTGGCTCCAGACTCAATGCCCTAGACCTCCTTTCTGCAGAGCCTGCTGCTGCCTGGCAGTCCTCCAGAATGGATTGGTGCCCATTAACCGGATGAGACTAGCAAACATATTCAGAGGGAGGAGAGGGAAAAAAACCCACAATCAAGATCTAACTTCATCTCATGTTCATGATCCTTAAAATGTACACTCTGTTTGGCAGAAGAGCCCACACAAAAAGTCTCCATCACTCAAATCAAGATATGAGCCACTCACCTGGGCTCCCCTCTGCCTCCTTTTAAAACAATCATCTTTTGCCAGGACAGCCAAAATGTCTTCCATCTTAATCTCAGAAACGCTGTAAGAGGAAGAGCACAAGAAAGTCGGTTTTTTACTTTCCCAGAGATGGCCCAAATTCTGATATATAAAACCAGTCCATTCTAAAACTAGACCTAAGCACAACCATCACCTGAGAAAGCAGACAACAGGCCAGTGAATACCTCAGCTGGTACAAGAGCTTGCTACCAAACCTACAACCTTACTTCAACCACCAGGACTGACATAGGAGAGAACTGAATTCCAGGGTTTTCCTCTGACCTTCACACTGTTTATTACCCTCTATGACATAAATAAATGCTATTAAAAACTGCTAAGAAGAGGATAATCTCCTCCTCATCCTCTTCTTCTGAGACAGTGTCTCACTATATAGTCCTGGCTTTCCTGGAACACGTTCTATAGACCAGGCTGGCCTGAAACTCACAGACACCTGCCTGCCTCTGCCTCCCCAGTGTGGCGAATAAAGGCAGATAAGGGCACCTTTCTTTCTTTCCTTTTTTTTTTTTTTTTTTTTTTTAGTTTATTTCTCTGTGTAGCCTTGGCTGTCCTGGACTCAATTTGTAGATCAGGCTGGCCTCGAACTCACAGTGATCTGCCTGCCTCTGCCTCCCAAAATGCTGGGATTAAAGGTGTAAACCACCACACCTGGCTAGGGTAATTTTCTTAAGCCTTTAGGCATTTGAAAAAGGGGAGGTAGCAACAGGGCCAACTTAGCCAGTGTCCCCTGCACTTCCCTTATCTCTAATGGGTCTAAAGCAGGTTACCATACATGGGTAGGGGTTCTTCCTTCTAGCTGCCCATCCATCCATCCATCTTGCCTCCTTTTTTTTTAGAGACAGGGACTCATGTACCCTAGGCTGGTTTTGACCCACTATGGAATCAAGTCTAGCCTAGATCCTCTTGCCTCCACTCAGTGCTGAGATGGGAAGCAAATATCTCCATACTAGCCCTTTCCATCCTTCCTTCCTTCCCTCCCTCCCTCTCTCCCTTCCTTCCTTCCTTCCTTTCTTTCCTCCCTCTCTCCCTCCCTCCTTCCTTTCTAAGTGCTTATGTATGTACAAGGGCACACACATACAGCAGGGCTTTTGTGTGGGAGTCAGAGAGCAAGTGCTGGAGTCAGCTCTACCATGTGGGTCCTGAGTATGGTACTCAGGTTAGCTGTCTTGTCAGCCAACTTGCCAGCCCTCTGCCATTACTTCTTACTAAAGCTTGGTTACTAACATAGTAGGCTTGCTTCTTGACATAATACTTGAACAGAGAAAGAAATAATCATTGCACATAGGCTATTTAGAAAATCCTTAAGTACTAGGCAAAGACAACAGTGACAGTGGTGAGGGACCTAGCTCTGTCCACAGCCCCACTGTTCTTTCTCTACGCTAGAGAATCTTTGATACTCTTATCTCTTAATCATTCAGGGCTGAAGACCAAATGATCCCCCAAAATCTAGAAGCGCAAACAAACTGTTAAAGCTAGGGGTGAAGAGAGCACGACTAGTCACTGAGAAGAGTCAAGCTGCACTGCACACAGTGACTACAAGGCCATAGCTCTGGAACTGGGGAGCAACACAGAAGCACAATCAGTAACAGGAAATGTGAGCTGTTGAGCTCATCTTCCAGAGGAAAAGGAAGGAGGAGCTCCAGGGGAGAGAAACAGATCATGAAAAGACAAATGACTTTGTTGTATGTTTTCTTTCTCCTTTTTGAAAATGTAACAGCAAATTAAAACACGAATGGAAACCTCTTATGGGTAAAGACAATTCTCTCCCTTTCCCCAACAGTTACTCTGACAAGGCTATGAATGAAAACGCCATATTTGACAGCCAATCAGCTGAGATGTGTCAACTTCTCCTGAGCCCAAGCCCCAGCCTCCACCCTCAGCATTACACAGACTCATGAAGGAGAGATACCTCTACAGCAGGGAAAGGTAGCTATAGGAATGGAGGGTTGGGAAGATGGGAGGCAAGGTCAGGGTGCTCCTTCCCTTAGAAGCATTTTTTTCATGTCCCCCAAACTGTGAAGGACAGAGTGGAATGGTGGCTGAATCTATTACCTCCTACACCTAAGAAAACTAAGGCTGGAACAGATGTGTTTGTACTTTTCCTTGTCCCACTCGACTCCTATTTGTCACCTTTGAGGGGCAGGCAGAGACAGATACACAAATGGAAAATAAACTTAAGAACCTGGAGTAAAGTGGGGGTTGGTGGCTCACAGCTACAATTACAGCACGTGGGAGGATAAGGCAAGAGGATGACAAAAGCTGAGACATAACCAGAGGGGAGATTGACTACCTGACCAACATGTGGCCTCTCATGAGTGAGATCAAACACATGCATCTTCATGAACAAAACCATTTGTTCGCTTGACAGATTGTTAAGATGAGGAACAAGGCAAATGGATGGAAAACCCAAGCCACCTTAATTTTGGCGCACTTGAATGCCAACCAGGAACAGGTGCCCATCTCTCCACAACAGAGGTAGCAGGCACACTTGGTCTCAGCCCACAAATGCCCACTCCAACAATCTTGAAAGAGTTCTGAGAAATCTCACTAGACAGAGAGAGAGAGTACTGCCTGCTGGGAAATGGCAAAAGTTGGTGGGAGAGCCACACACAGCTCTGGAAGTCTGCAGTCAGTCCTGCTGGCATCTTCAGAGCAGGTCTCCAGCAGTGTTTACAACTTGTAAAGGGGGAGAGAATGTCCTTGGAGTTTCATGTTTTACATGCAATGTACGGCTGGTCAAAGAGGAAAAGACAGGGACTCAACCACACTCAGCAGCCCCACAGAGACATATAGACACATGCACACAGCACAGCAGCAGCAGCAGCACCTGAGCAGCCAATGAGACTTCTGGGCTTGGCATGCATCATGTCCCACTACCCTGGGCAGACACATGGCTCATCCAGGGCTTCCAAATAGACTTGTATCCACCACCTTGCCATGTCTGAGTAGAAGAAATTCTTAAAAGTAGACCTGTGTCAAACACTGCATACTTTTATAAGGTCATTATTAAAACATGTGACTTCAGGTATCAGAGAATTTATGGAAGGCAGGACAAGTCCTTTTAAGTGTCTCAGGCCAATAGTTTTCGTGTGAGCTTCCCATAGGGGAACAAGGCTAGTTACCTGACAATACCACATACAATATACCTGTAGACAACACTGACTACAGGTATGAAAGCAGTAACTCGTTCCAACTACTCTGAGGATCCCTTTCCTTCCTGAAGGAAGAAGACTGTGCGCTGAGCAAAAACATTCTTATTTCTTTAAAGACAAATCAGCACTGAAGCTTTAAGATGCTAACCACAAGGATGAAAATTGAAAATGAAGAAGCCTCTGAGAAGCTGGCTGCAAGGGCATGCCTCCTACTGAAGGGCTGAAAAGCCAGGGGCACAGACCACCCTGTAACCTACTAGCACTGCAATGAGAACTGCCAGGTGTGAATGGTACTGAGGGTTTCAGTTTTTGCCATTGGCTATTCTGGAATTCATTTAGGGATCATAAGGGTTAATGGCTCTTCAGCAGCTTACAAGGCCCATCCACTCAAAAAGTGACAGAATGTTAATTACGTGAGATCTGCTGAAACCCGCTCAGGTTTCTGACTCACTTGATTTTGTGAGACGCCAACGAGTTGACATATTCTGCCTCTGAAGGAGCCAAAATGAGCAGGCTGCTCCCATGACAGCCGATCCGGGCAGTTCTTCCAATTCGGTGAATGTATTCTGCAGGTGAAGATGGAGCACTGTACTAAAAAGGACAACACAAATGAAGGCATTCATAGATCAAGGGATTGCAACTAATTGGAAGAGCAATATCCCCCTCACCTACCTCCAGGTACCCCGGCTACGGTTACTCTAACACAATCAGAAGCTGTCATTAGTCAACCCTGAAGCTCCTGGCTTCACTGCAACAAGGCTCTGACATAAAAATGGGAACAGTGGCCAAGTTTCAGATGAATAAGACATGTCTCATCCAGTGTCTCCCTTTAATTTTACTGCTCTACATGTCCCTTCCTTTTCCTATTTGCATCTTTTCAATGAGGTGACTGTGCAAGGTGAAATGCAAGCAGGTGGGATAAATTTCTCCAGGATGACCACATGACCTTGGCCTACTTCCTTGGTAGACATAGCAGCTGGGAGGCAGCAACAGCAGACAAGGGATGTAAGGATGAAGGACACCAACCACTGTGTTAGCAGAGTCCATCTCTGCTACTGGCCCCAGGGGCAGGCCAACCACCTCACTGCAACTCCACGCTTCCCAATCAGGTGGAGAAGTAGACAGTTAAGAGCAGACAGTGCAGGCTTCTGCTATGGGGAATATGTTCCTGACTCAGGGAAAGCAGCAAGTTCCCACTCAAGAGAACAATCAGGCAGGCATCCTGATATCTTTGGCAGTAACTCTGCCATCATTAAAGCTAAATGATCATAGTCTCTCTCTTTTTCTCTTTCTTTGCTGCTACACAAATGGAAGATCAGTAGACCAAGGTGAATATACTATTTGAAAGGCCAGTCATTTTGAATTTGTCAATATTCACAGTATGAAGCTTCCCATAATCAAATCAGAGTCTGCCCCTGGCACACTAAAATCATCCCTGTCTTCCCATCATCCATTGGTTCTGTGGCCAGCAGGAAAAAGACACAATATTTCCAGTCCCAACAAGATCACTTTTGACGCGCAGATCAAGATCAGATTTCCCAGGCAAGAAATGCCACAAAATGTGAATAAACCATGAGTCATATAAACAGGGCACATGTCCCCTGGTCCCACAGACAGGCATAAAAATAGCATTCTACAGTGTAATGAAAAGAAAAAACAAAACTACCCCAAAATGAAAAAAAGGAAACCCACTAGACCACATCATTAACCCTGTACTCTGTGACAAAGCGACTAGGGCAAGAGGTGTATGCAAGATGTTGTCAGGACCTCAATTGCTCCCTGCAGGTCAATGTACATGGACACAGCTCTCAGGACAGCTGAGCCATCTCCTTCTGGACACAACAAGGCCTCCTGGGGGCCTGTGTAACTCCTGTTATTTTCAGACTCTGAAAACTTTGGTTTGGGACATGAATTAGTCTGGAAACAGGAGAGCTAGCCACCCTCTCTTGAGAACGCCACCCTGGCTTTTCTGCTGCAGTGTTATAGAGAGGCTGGGCTAAGGAAAGATGTCAGAACTGTAAAGATACGGCTGGCTGCTGCCTGGTTACCAGGGCAACACCCAAGAGGGTAATAATGATCACTCAATGCATCCTCTCATGCTCATATACTCACACCTCAATGACTAGGAGATTACCTGAACAATCCAGGTGACTTGTGGGAGATCTAAGCCTCGTGCTGCAACATCCTTTAAAACAAAGAGAATATGGTTTATGATTTAAAATTGAGTTTCTCTACCTTTTCTCTTTCTTTCTCTCTCTCTGTCTTTTTTTTTTTTTTCTTGGAGAGACAGATTACTGCTCTGTGGTCCTAGAACTTTGTAACCCAGGCTTGCCTTGAAGTTAAGGTAATTCTCCTGCCTCAGCCTTTTCAATGTGTGTTACCAAGCCTGGCTGAGTATCTGAACTTTTAATACTTGATAATACAAATTCTGAAGATGTACACACATACACACAGAGGCATGCACTCACAATTCTGAATACTTCAGGTGCCTTAAGAGCCTACTAAAATCCATCTATCATTAAAAATTCTGAATCAGGAGCCAGCAAGATGGCTCAGAGGATAAAAGTTCTGGCCATCAAGCTTGACAACTTGAATTTAATCCTTAAAACATGCAGGCGAGAAGACTAATTCCCACATGTTGCCCTCTGACTTCCACACATGCAATATACCCATGCTGAATACATGATTCTGAGATTCTGGATAGCTTTGATGTCACACACCTATAATCCCAACACTTGAGAGATTGAAGGGAGGAGGATCAGAAATTGAAGGTTATCTTGAGCTACATAGTAAGTGTGAGGCCAGCCTGGGCTACAGGAGATCATATTTCAAATACACAAAAAGTCACCTTTCAAAAAAAGTAAAAAGCCATTTAGGGTAAGTGTATCCCTAGGCTGTTATCACAGCACTTCATGACTAGTAATGTCAAGTAACAACAGTCACACAGCAGACTGGCATGTTTCTGGAACAGCCCTCCTCAAGGCACTCACTTGTGAAAGTGGTGAGCTGCAGTGTTTACTGGGGACTCTGTGGGTTTAGAGCAGGAAGGATTAAGTAGTTTGCAGTCACTTGTGGGAGTTAAGATTAGGATACACTCCAAACCTGCCCATCACTTCAAAGGCTTGACTGGACAGCTGAGAAGCCATAAAAGAGATGGAAATTAATTTTCCCTTTCAACTGGTCACCATCCAAAGAGCCAAAGTTCTCAGCACTCTGTATCTTTCTGTCATTTTGGCAGAGACCTGAAGAAATCACCCCATCTGTAGCAATAGCATACACTCAGCTTTAAGTCCAGCAACCATAGCAGGAGTCCCTCAGTATTCATTGAGCCCAGATAAGACACAAGGTGGAGCTCAGCATCTTACCCCCAGCACCCCAATTAAGTTCTATTCAAAAGAACGTACTCCATCCATCCATCTATCTATCTATCTATCTATCTATCTATCTATCTATCTATCTATCTATCTATCTACCTACCTACCTACCTACCTACCTATCTATCGGGGGAGGGGTGCATGCTACTGCACATGTGTGGAGATCAGAAGACAACTTGCAGTACTGGTTCTCTCCTCATGCTATGTGATTACTAGGATTAAAATCATGCTGTCAGGCTCTATGGCAAGTTCCTTTACCTGCTAAGCCATCTCACCAACCTGCCTTAACCAATCTTAAAAGCAGCTATTACTCTCTAATTTTGAGAAAACAAAAACAACAAACAAACCCCCAAGGTTTGAAGCCTAGGACACAACTGTAGGGGAGGTAGTCCTCAGGGCAGGCCTGCTTTCCTTTTGCAGTGTTTGTCAATAGCATATTCTTCCATGCAAGAGATGCTGAACCCCACACACTGTGGTGGGAATGCAGAAGCAAACATGCCCTCATGACAGGGACTCTGGTGATACTTAGAAAACACATCTGCACTTGGCCCCTGGAAAGCAGCCTCACTTCCAGCGATGCTGGCAAGAGGTAATATCAGGTAAGCGGAAGCTATTCGTTCAGAGTGACTGAATGAAGAGACAGACTGAACAAAAGATGGAAAGAGAAAATTCTACTAACTTGGAGAGACCTTTTATATGTGTGATGTGCATATAAACAAGCATACTTGTTTATATATATATTTTAAATCACTTTTTATTTTTTAAAGTTACCTTTAGGGGAAGGAGGAGACCAGGAGAAAGCCAAGGATGCAAAGTGAACACTAGAGTGTCTGCTGTGAACGAAGGTGATCAGCTCTTACACAACAGGAATCAGTGTACCCTATGATACCTCTTGACAAAAACTAAAGCCTAGAAGCCAAATTCAATTAACTGTCTAGAATCAATTATTAATTTGCAGTAATATAGGAGATAGAAAACATGCTAAACCAACTCTAAAAAGACATACTTCAGAATGAGACCACGAAAAAATTGATACCTTGGGAGACAGACAGCTCAGGAGGAAAAGTGCTTGGTAGGCAGGCATGAGAACTGGAATTTGAATGCCCAGAACCAACACCACACAAGGCACAGCAGTGCATGTCTCTAAGCCCAGTGATTACAGTGGGGAGGGAAATGGTGACGGGAGAGTCCCTGAAAGCTCACGGACCAGTCAGCCTGGCATACTCAGTGAGATACAACAAAGAGAATTTGTCTCAAAGGTAGGAGAGGGCTGACTGAAGTTGTCCTCTGATTCCCAAACATGGGCAACAGTCATGCACACACACTGGAAAAGAAATAAAAAACAAATGATCTGATTTTTATATCCCCCAAAAATCTGGAAGCGGGGGTGTCAATGAGAAATAATAATAATAATAATAATACTAATAAAAATCATTAACTAGATGGATGAATACCCGAAGGAGGCTCAAAACTACCAACAGCTATGTGTGGTGGTTCACACCTATGATTCCATAATCCCAGTGTGCAGAGGCAAAGGCATGATTGTGACACTGACTAAAGTCCAGTCTCATATACATAACAAGTTCCAGGCCAGCTAGGGCTAGACGGTGAAATCTTGTCTCACACAACAAAAAGAAACCTCTCCAGACAGAGAAACTCAAGGTGGTTCTTTCGTTTCTGTTTGTATTTCCCTATGGCATGTGCTTTGTTTTAAACAATAGGTGTTATCATTTCCCCTAAAATTTTGTTTGTCCATCTTCTCTGTAACCCATCAACTGCTAATCCTTAACACATTTGCTATCTGCTTCAGTCTGAACACACAGAGACACAGGAAACAAAAGACTTGAAAGCATGTGAAATACATGCATACATTCACACTTAAAGCCACTTGCAAATGCTGTGGCCTTTCAGTCTTTAATACTTTAGCAAGGTCTCCTAGGTAAACAGTTCTCTTCTGCTACCCACCATACAGGCAACTCAGAGGGCATCAGAAAAACACTGTCTTCTTACCAAGAGTTGGTGTCCAACTTGTCCACTTTACTGGAGGTGATCCTACTGATGCTTTTCTTTCCAGTGCAGAGGTGAGCAATGAGCACAACTGCTGATCAAGAGTTACAGACTCCTTATAAGCTGGAATTGTGCCAGAGGTGGTCTGAAGGGAAATGGCCCACACAGACTTAGAGGGAATGGCCTTAAGTCTGTTGGAGGGACTATGTCACTAGGAGGAAGGGGGACTTTGAGGTTTCAGAAGCTTAAGCCAGGCCCAGTGTCATTCTTCCTACTGCTTGATGATCCAGATGTAGAATTCTCAGCTATTCTCCATCTGCCTGCATGATGCCATACTCTCTGCTGTGATAATGGACTAAACCTTTGAACTGTAAGGCAGCCCCAATGAAATGTTTTCCTTTATAAGAGCTGCCATAGTCATGCTGTCTCTTCGCAGCAACAGAACACTAACAGTATTTCCACTGACTTTAGGGTTTTCAATTTTTTTTCTGTGTATATGTGTCGCCTGAATGTATATTTATGTGTATCATGTGCATACAAGAGGGTGTAGTATTCCTTGGAACGGGAGTTACAGGTGGTTGTAAAGCACTGATACACATGCTAAGAACCAAATCTAGGTCCTCTGCAGCAAGTGCTCTTAATTGTTTATCCATCTCTCCAGCTCCTTGTTTAGTTTTGATGCTGTCTCAAAAAACATTCCATACTCTAGGTATTCTTACTTGCTTCCACATGGTAAGTTCAGGCAGGAATGGTACCTTTGGGGTGGTGTGGATTACTTGTGGCTCCACGTCATAGGGAGGCCTACTGGCTGAACATGGGAAATGCTTAATCCCTGGACTAAGTGGTGTCCACCAGCTTTCTCTACTGACAAGAGACATTAATTGGGGAGTCAGACTCAAAGTCATGGGAGTATCATCCCTAAACAATTCACCCAAGGGTCTCCATTCTATGGCTGCTCCTTGTCTGTATTAAGTGCTACTATGATGATGCAAAGGATGACTTTCCAAGTCCACCATGCTTTCCTTAATTGCACTGCCAAGAAATGTTTGTGTTCAAAACAGCCTCCCCTACCACTTTTTTTTTTTTCTTTTTAAGTAAGGATTTTGCCAGGTGCGTAGGCTCAGGCCTTTAATATCAGCACTAGTGAAGCAGAGGCAGGCAGATGTCTGTTGAGGCCAGCCTGGTTTAGACAGCAAGTTTCAGGATAGCTAGGTCTCCAATAATATCTTAAAAAACAAATCAAAACAATGACAAAAGTAAAAATTTGGAAAAACACCTTAGTCAATGCTAAGTTTTTGTAAGAAGCAAGGAAAGGACTGAACAAGATATTTGAGCAGGACTGGGCTACACTTCTAAGTGTGTAAGTGGAAGCTTATGCCATCAGCCCAGCATCCTCCAAAAGCCCAAAGCTGGTGCTGTGGAGCTCACAATCTAGAGTGTGTGTGAGAATGCAGCCTAGAATGTTCTCTACAGGGAGCAGAAGCGTGCAGCACTAACCACTGCCAATGTTTAGGAAGACGGAGGGTTCTTTAGTCTGCTAGCTTTCAGTGCTCTGCTGCGGGGACACAAAGTCTGAACTTTACAGAGAGGCTATGTGAAACGCCTGATGTCCCAGACCTGGGCTGGACAGACGTAGGAAATTACAAGAGCATCTGGATGAAAATGGCTGCAGAGGCTATGCCTGCTTGTGACAAGCTCCATCCAACACAGCAAGCTTGGTAAATTCCACCAGGAGAGATATTAAATTCTACAACAGGACTGAAGATACAGCTTAGTGGTGCAGCACTTGGCTGGTGTGTGTGAGGCCATGGGTGGGCTCCCAGAACAACACAACTGGTGAGACAATTTTCTAATCTATCACTACTTTTTCCATTCCACCCAGCCACCCACCCACCATGTCCATCTCTTGACAGTCTTGCTAAAAGGCCCAGGCTGAACTTGACCTCTATTCCTCCCATATCAGCCTCTCAAGCCAGGACTGCAGACATGTGTCACTGCAGGCTGTTTCTTCTGTTGGGTAGAGCTTGCAAATAGCCAGGCCCTTCCACCTAGGCTTAATCCAGACACTTTCTGCATCCCCTGTCCAGGCACCAGAGGCCGAGGGAAGGAATCAGACTTGGTCCACAGCAGGGAGGACTGGTACCAGCACGGTAAGCATGGGAGCCAGCCAGCCCAGGGCCGGTCAGCTCACTGCGCCAAGACACCTACCCTGTACCATGGCTAAGAACTACCTTGCTAATGAAGGACAAATGAGACAGTGTATGTAGGAACCATCCTAGAATTGTAACCCAAGTGTGCTGCTTCATAATAAAGAAATAGTGGCAATACTTAACACTTCTCCACTCTCCCTCACCACATTCTGCTCAGCCCTTAGAGAGGCAATAGCTCGTCTTCCAGAAAAGTGTTAGCTACCTACACTAGATAAACAGGAAACTGACTTGCTGGAAAGGTGCTGAGAGCTGCCCTCTCAGCTCTCAGAACTTAAGCCTGAACACAGCCTCATTTTATTCCTTTAACTTAATTAGGGCAAAAGAATCACTAAAGTCAGCTCTGAAAGACATTCACCAACGAAGCCTTGAAGGCCCTGGGCTCGACAACTGGCGGCCTCCATGAGACCCAGGAGTACAGATGGAAGGCAGCCTGCTCAGGTGCCAGCCTGTCAGTTGGATTAAAATGACTCATTTATTTACCCAAGAACCTCACAAAGTGCTTTTACTAACAGGGAGAGGGGGCCTGCCATCTCTCTGAGAAGGGACGCACAAATTCGACTCTGACGCCTTCCTGGCCTGCCAAAAGTCATTATTGCCATGTGTGGAAAGCCATCAGCAGGGTACAGGCCCCCGTTGTCCGGGTGACAGATTGGGCTGCGTAATCAGAGGAGGAAGGGGAGAGTACAGAAGCTGTCAGAGGCAAGAGTTCTTGGCTGGAGCCGCCAAAAAACTGGCAACATGAGTTAGCGTGACTGAGTAAACAGCAAACAATCTCCAAATGATCCTTCCATTAGCAGAGAAGAAACAAAGTATTAAGGATAAACTTGCCCTGAAAAGCACAACCAGAGAAGCATAAGAACCATACTTATTCCAGGCACTGAACTCAGTCTGGGGACATGCACAATCCTTGCTCCTTTGTCTTTTGGTCATTGGCACAGTAAATTCCCTAGGAGGAGAGGAAATTAAGAACTGTAGACAACGGAGGATTTCAACCAGGGAAAACAAAGCAAAAGCAAAGAGCCAGTGGAGGAGGTGGAGGGGCACCGGTGACCAGCATGTGTCTGTTAAGTATGAAACCTACCTGGTGGATACCATGATCCATCCATCCTAGCTGTATTTAACCAACAGACTCAGAATCCAGAAGCTTCTCCTTTCTGAGGAAGGCACTGCATTCCACTTATCCAGGGACAACCAAGGAAAACAAGTACACCAGAAAAAAAATCCTGGTGCTGACCTTAAAACCAAAGAGTCTTTAAAATTTCATTTTGTGATCACCCAGTAACACTTTCCTGCATGGAACTAAAGACAGAGTACTCCCTGATTTGGCTCTGGGCAAATCAAGTTGTAACAATGAACAGGCAGAAAAAAAAATACTCTAAGATAAAACAAAGTCCTGAGCCTAACTCTTGATTTTTCAATCCTATTTTAAAAAACAGGACTTTAGAGTTTCAATATCCTTTCTCATCCTCACTCTTTGCCTCATTTATGTTTTACTTGAGAAAGGGTGTCCTGAGGCCTAGGTTTGGATCTTCCTGCTTCCACTTCTCCAATGCTGGTATTACAGGGAGGTATGTACCACCACACCATCCACCCTTCCTCAGAAAGACTTCTCTTGTACCCAGCAAGCTTCAGTCCCAACTCTTCTTTCCTTCTGCCTGCCTGGCCCCTCTCCACAGCCCTATACTACTGAGCCATGTACGTATGTGGCCCTGAGAAAGCCACAGGAAATTAAAAAGGTCCTAGCTTGTAAGACAAGTATATTTAAGTTGAACACATATCCTACATACCCTTCACTGCTACTAGCAGGAAAAAAGAAATGAAGTAGAAAAACTTGCAAACAGTAAAGAACACTATAGTTACAGCAAATTCTCCATATTCCATAAAGACAGCCATTTAGTCTTCTCTAGCCTTATTAAAAGAATCTTTTGGCAATAAGTTAAAAGGTAAAAGGCTTGGTATAAAGGGGAAACTCTCCACACAACAATTAACAACATGATTCCCTTTATCAAGAGAAACCAGTTCTCCATCTGCCTCACCCCGACACGGCCCTCATTCCTCATTAGCACCATGGAGGCTCCTGGAGTGTTCAGATAGCCTGGCAAGCAACAGGCTGCTTATAAGGAGGCAGAGTGACATTATCTCCCCAGCCCTAGAATCATCTATCCCAGTGTGGCTCACAGTGCTTAGAGAAAGCAAACAAATACAGGCGCAGCAGAGGAACACAGAGGAGCACACCACCTATCATCATGGATCCTGAGCTGCATCCTGGCTGAGAGGTGAGCCCTACTCAGTTCTGCAGTCTTCTCTGCAGCACTGAGGAAAGTTGAAACCAAAGCTGGGATCAATCTGCACAAGCCAACCATTATGACCAACAGACTTCAGGAAATTATATGTGGACAAGAGTTTATTTCCTTCACGGTAAAAGACACAAAGAAGTGTGGTGAGAGCTCCAGAACATTCCTGTTGGTGGTAAGGGCTCCTGGCCATTTTCTTACCAAGTACCCTACTTGGATTCCATCTTTGCTTCATGCATCTTAAGATGGTTTCAGAACAAGTGTGAGCATCTGACCATAAAGAGAAAGGTTATTTGCTCAGACATAGGTCCCCTTAGGAGGTACGTGGTTTAAGAGAAATTAAACAATGTATATAAGTCTGAAGGATGTATGCAGAACCACATTGCCACAGACATAGGAAAATACAGTTGCAGTGAGGTTTCTGGGTAGGCCTTATAGTAGATGGAAACACAGACAAACACAGACACCCACCCACCCACGAAGCTGACCTTATCCAAAAACTGAATTCTGAAAGAAACCAGACTCTGTTGCTTTTGAATCGGACACGGAGTTCCTCAGACAGTAACTGCAGTAAATGAGGCACTCAGATAGTGAGTGTCCCCTCAACACTGGCTTGCAAGGTTCTCTAAGCGCGCAGTCCAGTTTCCTACTGTATAAATAAAAGTTTCTCCAACAGCCATATGTAAGTTACGTCACCCACATGGCCCAGGAAGAGAAGGCATTTTAATCTTGGGAGGCAGTACAGCTAAGGAAAAGTAGGTCTCTAGGGAGGAGTGGGACATGGAAGGCATGTGTTTCAGTCTCAGAACAGCGTTGGGATGCACAGTAGAAGAGTGAGCTATGTGCTGGACTATAGACTGAGGCAAATGAACTGGCCTGAAGCTCCTAGGATGACAGTCTCAGACAAGAGCAGACAGAACCTGCCAGGCACCTAGACTTTTCTTTAAGGAGAGCAAGCAAAGGCACTGTGCTGTGCAAAGACTTTCTCAGCCCCAACTACTCCCAAATGCTGTAATTTACAAGTTTTTGGTTGGTAAATTCACACCTTTTCAGACTAACAGCTGCCACTATTAGTGAGCAAATCGCCAAGTCTTCTCAACAGTGGCAGCCAGTGCCATGTGGCACAGCCAGGTGGCAATCCAGAAGTACAGAGAAACCAGCTCCATCATGAGGCCAAGGTGCACCATCTGTCCAGGAGATTGGACACCAGACAAACTGTCAAGGGATCAAAAGTCACAGCCACCTCTAGGCATGGTAGTGCATACCTTTGATCCCAGCACTCAGAGGGCAGAGGCAGGAGGATCTCTATGAGGCCAGCCAGGACCACATAGTAAGACCCTGTCTCAAATAACAGCAACAAAATAACCCCAGCTACTGCTATCACAGGAGTTAATCTTGACACTTACCGTGCAGAGCAGTACTCCTGTACCAGATTGTGAAAACTCGTGAAACACAGAGGTTCTTTCCTGCAGGAACAGGAAAAGCAGATAAACTCTTGAAATAAATACTGGTAGGTGGGTTTAAACTCACAAAACTTCTCCAATTTTCTTCACTCTAACTTTTTTTTTCTGGTACAGAAAGGTTCAGGTTTTCACAGCACAAAGAGGAAGTGGCTTATTCACATCTCATGAGATACACTTGTATGACTGAGCCTGAGACCAAGTAAAGCAGCAGAACCTTGTGAGGAGCACATTTCAATAAGCCAGTATCAACAGGGTATTACATAAACTGCCATTCATTCATAAATGCCAGTGCCAGCAAAGAATACACCATCTTAAAATATTATTAAAGAAAAATTGTAGACAAATCAAACATTTACTGTTATTGTATCATGTAAATTTATCATCTATCTATCTATCTATCTATCTATCTATCTATCTATCTATCTATCTATCCGTCTATATCTATATTGAGACAGGGGTCTCACTATGTAGCCCTGGCTGTCCTACAACTCACTGAGATCTGCCTGCCTCTGCCTCAGGAGTGCTGCCACTAAAGGTGAAAATTAATTTTAAAGCAAAGAAATAGAAACCAAACCAAACCAACAAACCGACACTCTTTGTTAGACATCTAACTTTACCATTTATTCAAGACTAAAATAATTTGCACTAATGAGTGGATGTGCTTCTTTACGCTATAAATTCAATCTTGGCTGAGCACTGACACTACAGAACAAAAAGCACCTTTGATGTTTTTCAGAGCTGACATTCTGACTTCATAAACAGAGTGGAGAACACCAGCCTGCAGAAATCCATAGCACAAAATGACAAATGCATGCTCAGCGTTATTTCAAAAGTGTTTTCTTGCTTAGAAATCTGAGGGCCTAAGTTTGTTTCCCCAGAAACCACACCATGACCCTTAACAAAACCTGGGCATGGGGGCACACACTTGTAAGCCCAATGCCAGGGAGGTGCAGACAGGCAGATTCTTGGGGTTCCCTGTCAGAGATTTGCCTTTCAAAAAGGGAAGATGGTTTCTGAGGAACTGCCCTTCTTCCCTTACATACAGTGTGTGAACATGTGAAACTGTTGAAATTCACGTCCTATTTAAAGCCAAAAATCACTTAGTGACTTCCTATGACGCCGAAGACAACTTAAACATCGATTTCAAAAATCAAATATTTTAACAAAATACAATGTAAAAATATACTAATTTAGTATGTACACGTTAAGAAAGAAAAAGAGACTATTCCAAGGCTTTGTTTTCCATAATTAGACCATTGTTTCTTAACGAGAATTAATAGTTTGGACATACAGCACAAACACTGCATTTGGGCAGTACTCATTGCCATTGTGTGGCAGGAGTGTGCTACACAGCGCACACTGTATGTCAAAACCAGCGCTGCAGTGAAGTCACACAAAGCACCTCAGCTCTACCCATTTAACTTTCAGTTAGTTTTTGGCTTCTGTGTGTTCGTGCTGTATTTTCACAGCCTCCTAACACACAGTTTAGGAAGCTGTGCTCTAGGGGAATAAAGAAATACCAGTTTTTTCTTACAGGGCAACCTTCTGAAATTAAAAATTTATAAAGACTGGGCTTGAGAGATAGCTCAGTAGTACTTACTTTACACACACAAGGACCTGGGTGTGGGCCCTGATACATGCATACAAAGCCATTTTCGATCCCAACACTGCTGAGGTAGATAGGGATAGATGCCCATGACGTGCTGGCTAAACAGGATAGCCTAACTGATAAGGTTTGGGTTCCAATGAAACCACATCTCAAAAGACAAGATGAAAGATTCCTGAGGAGCCACACACAAGGAGACCTCTGGCCTGTACAAGCACAGGTAAACCTGCACCTCCATGTCCATGAACAACACCCACATACAATTTATAAAGTTACTCAGCCAGTGGTTGACTGACACTTGTAATCCCAGAACTCAGGAGGCTAAGCCAGGAGGACTACTCTGAGTTCAAAGCCAGGTTCAAGGAGAAACTGAGTACTAGGGCAAGCCTAGGCTACAGGCTGAAACTCTGGGTCAAAAGAAAAAAAAACACTGATAACTATAACAAACTAAAATTATATATTTCAATTGTAGAAAATGTGTATTTAAAGGAAGAAAATAAAATCAGCCTGCACTAAATAAAGCATGTCATAGGCACTAGTAACACCTCAATGCTTTTTAAGCTCCTTTTCCATGCCCAACAAAGTCAAACATGTGGGTCACAAACACTGTGCGGCACTGTACTGGTGATATGCTTTAATCAAGTACCAACAACAGGTAAACATCTCTGCCAATAAAAATCCAAAGACCACAACATCTCATGCAGACAAATAGGATCCAGCCAATCAGATGCAACGTTATAACATGACCAGTGTTTTGTTACCAGGTGAGCTTTCCTTAAATAACTCTTTATTCATGAGTGGTTCCCTCAATTAATTTTTTAAAAAGAGATCTGTGGTCGTAAAGGTGAGAGAATGCTGAGGCTTCAGCATGATCTCTCTAAAACGGACTGAGTGTGCCTAAGTCTGACTTTAACTACCTGCCATTGACAGATAAAATATAAAAACTACTAACGTTACTAAAAGGATGTCTCCCTGTAGGCACCGGCACAGCCCCACTGCACTATGGCGAACAGTTCTGGTCATTTGTGGGCTGCAAGCCCAGGGCACATCTCATCTGGAACCATCAAGGGACAGTGCCGCAAACCTTTACACCAGGGGCTTTTCAAGTCTTATGTAAGGACAGGTTAAGAAACTCACTGCCTAGGCTGTTACATATTCTGGGGGTGGGGGTGAGGGTGAGTTGTCATAGAAGCCTTCTATGATTTTCTTTCTCAACTGTGAATCTGTAGTCATGAATAGCACTGCAAAAGGCAGTAAAATAGCACTGCCTTGCCCTTTCCAGTCAGCAGGAGCATGGACCATGGACATCCACATGGCCTCTAACATCAGCATGTGCCACAGGCCTTCGCAGCACAGGCCACAGACATCAGCACTGGCACCCAGGACATGGGCCATGGACACCAATATGGTCTGCAGCAGCAGCAGCAGTCCCAGCCCATGGACATCACCATGACTTCACGTGGCAGACAGACCATGGGCAGCCACAGGGCCTTCTGTGGGGAGAAATGCTAAAATCTTATCTCAAGTCAGAGTCAGTAATTGAGCAATCAGAGCCAGAACACAAGCAGTGTGCCCCAAGGAAGCACACCAGGCAGGGCTGCCCACCTCACCCGTGAGCTGTACACTCTGCTATCACTTAACTATGGATATGTCCTGACCTATTGAAACCTCTTGAGTCTTTTAGGTCCACATAAGCTCCTCACTGTCTTCAGCCACCACCCACAGAATGGTTCTGGGAAACAAGGGCCCGAAGGACTAAAAACCAAGTTTACAGCAAAACCCCATGTAGCTATACATGGTATTCAGAACAAAACCTGGCTCAGCCAACCAGGGAGCTGAAAGCATAACAGGAAACTACCAAAGCCTAGAATATTCTGTGACTTGCATATGTGTAATAGCAAAGAAGCTGTGTCCACGAGTGACCTTCAGCAAGGTCAGTTATCTGGCCTCCATTTCCTTAATTGCTAAAGCCAAAGAACAAAAACCATTAGGGGATGGTTTCCAATCACCTCAGACCATTGCCATCTCTTTTAGTTCACAGCATGTCCATGCTACCCTGACTTGAAGCCTTTTGATTTTCTAAGATGCCCAGAAACCCTGTCACAAGATGGCTCCTACTTCAAGCCTATGCACCCTCTAGGAGGGAAGCATCCCTCCCAAGTGCCATTCAACTCCCTACAATGACCTTGCTAAGAGCCCAGAAGTGAGGCTTCCACAGAACATCTAAAGGCAGGGAAGGGTACTCTTCTTCAGGAAGCTCACTCTGCAGAGGGAGAACAGGGACTAAAGCCTTTTGGTGTGCAGTACCCTCTCCCAGCCCAAAGTGCTCACAGAGTGCAGCGCTGTGTCTTGTTGACAATGACAGCCGCCGCGCTCAGCAGTACCATATGGGATCCACAATTTAGCTCCATTAATGCTCTTAATTTGAAGACATCAAGCCCTAATTACACACTGGGTACTAAAAAGGCAAAAGCCTTCCCTGGTGCCAGCTACTTAGTGCTACTCAGTTGCCGTAACAGCTGGCTGAGATAGACACAGGCCAAGCAGGCCTGTGAGCTCTCTCAGGTGGAAGAGGCAACTCCAGAGAAGGAGCCCAAGGAACAATAGGCTCCCTCACAGCAGCTATCAGCAGCTCCCCCACTTTGGGTTTTCCAGCCCCCTGGCCCAGGAGAGCCTGAAAATGACATAAGTGAACCAGGACTCTATTTACCAAGCTTACTGCATATGGGGTGGAAAGCAGTGGGCTTACCTCCTGCTCCATGTTGCCATGCAGCCGAAGGAATGTCAGTGGCCAGGAGGCAGATGGCAGCTGCTCCGAAGTGAGGGACCCTGAGAGGCAAGGCAGGGTGTGAAGGAAGAGGCTGTAGTGGAACTCCACCAGCTCACAACTTGAGAAAAAGACAATCATCTTCTGGTCCTTCTCAAACTACACAAACACAAGGAGAAAGCAAGCACAGAGCCATAAGCATAGAAGCTCTCCAAATGAGCATGTCTCTAAGATCCATGTACATGGTGGCCCTGATTTGGAAACATGGTGACACAGCTTTTAATTATTTAATAATAGTAGCACTGATATTCCACTCTACAAAGAAGACAGACAGGAAAGTGACAAGAATTCCTCCTCAAAGAGAAAACAAATGTACTTTTAGGGTAAGTTGTCCCTTACACTTTGGGCCTGTCATAATCAGTAACCCCCAACTCCTAAAGCCATTACCTCATATCCCAGACTCACCCCATGAATCTGGTAAGCAAATACACTAGGTCTAGCAGTCTGCAAGAAACACTTCATTCCTGCATGCCTCTGCCGCCTGTGACATGCCCCTAATGTTTGCCCCAACAAGGCAGATTTCAAACTTAACGCTATGACCCTGACTAACCTTAACCTGGGCTCTTTACCTCTGTTTGGAATTCATAATCACACATGAACACACATGCCCTCACTTACCCATGCACTCAGAACAAAGGTGACAGCCCCTTCTTTTCTTGTCTTGGTGCTTTAGCTCATTGCTGTGTTTACCCAGCACAAATGAAGTATATACTACTTTCTTAGATCAGGCCAGATTTAAGTCACAGTCCTACCTTGCACTTCTGCAAGATGAAGGCCGCGAGGCAGACAAGGCGCAGCTTGCTGGGAACCAATACCACATGCTGGTCGAGACTCTCTGGTATGGCAAAGCTGTCTGGCTGGGTATTAGCAACTTCCTTAGGATTGGGCTGATCCCAGCTTTTGTCCAGGACAGAGATACTGACTGGATTGTGCAAACTGATATCGGCTAGCCGTGTTACACCTTAGATACAGTGAAAAGGACAAAACAGCGTGGTCACTTATGTACCCCAGAGCACCCATTCACAAAAGTCCAGCACTGATCTGCCCTATTGCCATGTTGGTGGGGTAATCCACAGCCCAATGCCCATTTATGATAGCAGTTTCTATGCGCTCATCAGACGTCTGTATCTCACCTTACCAAAGGTTCTTTGGTCACCACAAAACGTTAGATTAAAGTAGTTCAATAGACTTGGCTGCAGACCTTCTTAGGACCTTTGGGTAACGTCTACCATTACCCAAAAGAGTGAGGTCATAAAACAATCCCTAAATTTATTTGACCACAGAAGCCCTTTTTTGAAGATTATCTCTCAAGAGCAATGTTTCTTAGAAACAGTTTGGAAGTCACACAAACGGCACCTAACTTGTGTATCACATTGTGACTAGAAAATCAGCTAATACACAAACAGCCATGAAAGCACTGGTGGTGCCTACACAATGACACCTCACGTAGAGTGAAGCTGGTGAAGTGGTTCTGTTTTCTAAGCCTTTCTTTCTAATCTGCAAAACAGCCAAGAATTTCTTTCAAGGGTGGAGGAGTCAGGAAGGGGCTAGGAATGTGGGCTCTTAATGAGAAAGGAGAATGATCACACTAGAACTAGTGCTGAAGAGAGAGCAACACCTGCGCAGTGGGACCTGCCAATGCCTCAGCATAAAGCAAAACCAAGAAATGGCCCAGCCGGGCCTTCCAGGCACTTTAGTATGCATAGCAGCAGCCATCTCTCTCCTCCCAGGCCCTGGGTACCGGTATCTGCATACCCAGTGGGTATGAGGAGACAGTGGGGAAAGGCTGTCCCTTCTCCCTAAGAGAAACACCCATTGGCATCAGCCCACAGTTCCTTCTCAACTCACCTTCTGTGAGTGTTGCTGACAGCAGGACATTCTGACGTTTCTGACATTCAGCATTTATAGCATTCAGAATGACTGTGATGTCCTTCTCAAAACCCAAATCCAAGATCCTGAAGGTGTAAGAGAAAAGACTTTACCCTATGCAAAGAGAAAACCTGACACTACCAAGCTACAGAACTGATCTGGAGATGGCAGGACAATCAGCCCCTTTCTCTCACCTTCCCTGCTTCCTAAACTAGGCTCACCTGTCTGCTTCATCCACAACCAGCCACCGTATTCTGTTAAAGTGAATGTTCTTTGTGGATTTTATATGATCCACTAGACGGCCAGGAGTTGAGATAAGGATATTAATGCCTTTGCGGAGCCTGTTTAAATCATGTATCATAAAAGAAAGTATGTCAAACACTGGAGCAACAACAAACACAACAGACAGGCAGACAGTCATTCTGTGTCCAGCACAACTGCCAAAGCCTTAAGTCAAAACAACAAATGGGTAAGATTTCACTCTTTGTATAGAACTGCTAAGATCTAAAGATACACAGAATCATAACCTTAACTTTGAGAGAAATTTTTAAGCATATAACCCAAAGCTTTTTATCTGATTCACAGATTCTTTCTACAACATTCTGGATAGATGGACATCTAACTAATCCTTTTCTTCTTTTTAAAAGATCAATTCCTGCTCTCCCCACCCCAACAGGGTGTATAGCCTGGCTGTCCTGAAACTTGCTCTGTAGACTAGTCTGATCTCAAATTCAGAAATCCACCTGCCTCTGTCTCCCAAGTGCTGGGGTTAAAGGCGTGTACCCCCACTACCCAGCAAAGGATCTACTTTTTAAAAATTCATATCGTTATGACTGTTTTATGTATATGTATGTCTCTATATGAGTATATGCCACATGAGTGCAAGTGCTCAAAGAAGCCCTTAAACTGGAGTTACAGGCCTACGAGCCACCCAACCTGGCACTAGGGACTGAACTCTTGCCCTCTGGAAGACCAAGATCTGTTGACTATTCTCAGCCCCTTATTTTGTGTGTGTATATGTATACACTTGGGTGCTCATGGAGCCCAGAGTAGGGTGGTAGATTCCTCCCATCTGAAGTCACAGGTGTTCTGTGAGCCATCTACAGTGGTGCTGGATCCAAAGTCTGCAGTAAGCACTTTTAACCTTTTGAGACATCTTTCTAGCTCCCTAACCAGTTCTTTTAGGCTTCTGTGATAGAGAACCAGGCAGACTTAGATACTGTCAGGACACACATCCTAATAATCTGTAGGACACACAATCTAACTGTCAGGACACACAATCTAACTGCATAGACACACATTCTAACTGTTAGGGCATACATGATGGTAAGATGTTTTATAATATTGAACCTTTTGGGTAGCTGCCATAAAATGGGCCTGAGCTTTGCCTTATAGATGATATAGACTAAAGCTTACTTCTTTTTAAACTTATTCTTGGATAATTTAATAATATGTATCTAGCGGAAGACAGAGGACAATTTTACTTAGATAGTTTTCAGTCAAGTGGGGCAACATGCCTATACTTTGGCTATAGCATAAAATATAAAGAATGTTTAATCATAAATGAACCTTTGAACAAAGGATTTATGACAACTTTTGTCACTTCTAGTAGGAAACTAAAGTGCAGTGGCTGAAACTCCTGCAACAATCCAAAGCTATGAGCTAACCTTGCAAATGGAAGCCTCTGTAAGGACACAAAAAGATGAAGAGGGACCTGGACCCTTATTGCTGTTGTTTATAGCGGAGTCTAACCTGACCAATGTTTCTAAGTATCAAGCTTTATGTTCACTCTCAAGTTACAGCTGACTCAAAGAACTCTGTAACTACTAAAGTGCCATTTACCTGTCTAACAATTTTCTAATGATACCCATTGCAAGCTCCAATGCGGAGCTGGGAATCAATGCACTGAGAACTTGCATTAAGAAAATTATCGTCCTGTTTTGTTGTTGTTAGTGATTTTGAAGACAGAGTCTCATGTAGGCCAGGCTAGTCTTGAACTCAGTATATACCTTGAAACTCTTGCCTCAACCTCCCAGCACAGGCCACAAGGTCTGCTATCACCTTATTTTTATAAATCTAAACGGTAAAACCACAAACTCCCAATATGCACCAAAGGGAGTCACACGAAGGAGTGTGTACCAAACAAGAGGCCTGTAGGGCAGCCAGTGGATGGGTTAAGCAGGTCACAGCACTGTCATTAACCAGAAGAAGGGAATCTGCGACAAACAGTACTGTCTAGAGGTGACTCCTGACCTGTCTGTCTCTATATGGGATCAAGAGGCACAGTAGCAGAGGAGGCACTCTCTCAGGTTGAAGAGTCAAGTGTTACTGAACAAGATTGGGCAGACAGACTCCAAGAGTTGAATAAGCAAACCCACTTTCTCCTACCTAGCTTTTTCTGACTTCCTCTTCTCTCCGCCCATCAACACTCCAGGAACAATCCAGGTGAACGGCTAAATAAAAATACCAGAGCACAATCAACATAAAGCCTCTTCCCTAGAAGCAGAGCTGATCCTAAGTTCCTAGCATAAGCAAGTCTGCAGCAGGAAGCACACGGCTTTGCAGTGTGGGAGGAGTTTCTGTGCAGATACAGCCTGGGGACACAGAGGCACCTCGTGTTGGTACCCGCAGTGGTAGACCAGAGCTGTACAACAGCTTCCAGTGCTGTCAGGACAAATGTGAGCTTGTAAAAGGATATAATTAGCTCCCCTGTTTTTTCCCATGGTGTCCAAATAAAAACTATATTTCAGTTAAATTCACTGTCTTGCAGGTGGGGTGGGGGATAAAAAGCCAAGTAACACACTCACCACTCATTACTTACTAGACCACAGAAAAGAAAAATAGATTCCTGGTCAACCTTTGTAGGAGCTAAACCTTGGCTCTGCTGTCTTTTCTCTCTTGAATCCCCTTACAGGTTCAGGATGCTTTCCACTGGGTTAAATGGGGACCGCACCTTCAAGTCACTGCACATAACTGCACTTGTTACAGACCAGGGTATGCCAACAATAGCAATCTCTAGCAACTCCTAGCAAAAGTCATTAGAGGGTGTTGTGGCACACGCCTTTAATCCCAGCACTTGACAGGCAGAGACAGGTGGAGCCCTGAGTTCAAGGCCAACCTGGTCTACATAGTGAGTAGATAGCCTAGGCTACACAGAGAAACCTTGTCTCAAAAAAAGCAAGGGAAAAAAAAGTTATTGAGGTCTGCCAGTGAAATCTACCAAGTACTCTTAGGGAGGCCAGAGGCACTTTGGGAAGATGAGAGAGGAGCTATTCCCACAACACAGACTGTGCCACATGGCTCTTCCTTCACAATGTCAGAAAAAAAGACAACAAAAATTTATGGCTTTTCTTACCTTAAGCAGCTTCTGAACAGTGTCAAAGCTTTGCAGAGCCAACTGTAAGTATGAATGTTAGAGAGAGTGAGCAGAACTCCTTGCTTCCATTTTACATTTTTAAAGAAAAAACAATCTGAACTATCAGGGTGCAACACTAGATCTCAAGGCTTAGGCCAAGTAAATCCTACCTAGAGAATCCACCATGAAAATACCCTTTTCTTAAACTGGTTTTGGAATCTGTAAGTTTAGGGAATAAGGGTGAAGACATCACATATATTTCTTAGACATACAAAAATAGTGTTTTGTGCTCCCTCTGCTGGCTCAAATACCCAAAGTGTCACACAGAGAAGTTCATGTATAGGGTTAAAGAAAATCAGATAGGAAGTAATAAGTATGAAAGGGAAAACACAACAGTGGCCTGACAAGCACTTGGGGAACTTGGCATCACTCTAAAGCTGCAGCCGGCTATCTGAAAATGCAGGCGGTCATTCCTCAGTTTATAAATAAAACCAGTGAGCCCAATGGATATAGGAAAAGTAAACTAATATAGGTGGCAACCATTAAACATCATTAAAATAGCCCATTCAGGATCTTGTCCAAGGTTATGTTGTCCCCACATGTTCACAGCGCATGCAGCCTTCTACAGAAGTGACAGGTTTGCTGCTGAGAACTTTTCAACGTGCCTCCTGCATGTGCTCCTCCTGAACGAACAGAGGCAGGACAGAGCAGGCTGTATGAAAGGCTGACCAGGGGCCTGGAGAGATGGCTCAGTAGTTAAAGAGCACTGGCTGCTCTTGCAGAGGATCCAGGTTCGGTTCCCAGCACTCATACAACAGCTCAAAATCATCTCTTACTTCAGTTCCAGGAATCTGACATTCTCTTCTGGCCTCCAAGGACACTGTACACATATGTTGGTTAACAGACATACATGCAGGCAAAACACTCGTACACATAAAATAAAAGTAAATAAATTAAAAAAGAAAGGAAGGAAGGAAGGAAGGAAGGAAGGAAGGAAGGAAGGAAGGAAGGAAGGAAGGAAGCAAAGCTGTCTAGAAAATTTCATTTTCCAGCAAGTTCTCTGTGGACACATCACCCAGATCTGACAGAATTAATTTCTACGTAGTTCCCCGAAGAAGAAAGAATTTCAACAGCAACAAGAGCTTCATTTAAAAAAAAAAAAAGTTCATTTTTATATCCAAAATTTCAGTTACTTTCTCTAAAATATCTAAAGTATAAAAATGCAATGCCTACTGAAGGATCAGTAATAGAAGTATTGTTAGTTTTTCAGACAATGATGAAATGTTCTCTTGTACCTACCTAATAATTTTCAAGAGCACTTAAACCTTCCTCCTTGATAGCAATCAACAGAATAGTTCCCAGAAAGCAATGTGAAGGACGGCATGTGCAGTAATTTGTTTGCAGGAAAGAAGTGGAGAGAGCACTTCAAGTCAACAGGCTATCACTTACAATGTCTACAAACCTCACCTATATGCAAGCTGCTTACCTCTCTAGTGGGCACTAGGACCAAAGCATAGGGGCCGTCACTACGCTGTTGGTAGAAAAAAAGAAATGCCAATGAGTAGAGTGCCAGGTACAAGCTGAAGTAGGAGGGTTAGAGTTTTTTGTTTGGAGCAAGCTTGAGCTATATTAGATCCTGTCTCCAAGAAACAACAACAACAAAAATTATATATATATATTAATATGTAAAATTAGCATATATAATTAATATATAAAAATAGTATATATAGAAAATGAATGCCATGAGGAGGACCAAATGAAGGTCAGACTGAGACACATAAGGTTTATGGGTAGCCAGCTAAAAACATCAGAAGCATTTGTATGAAAGAAGGAGAAAAGAATGGTCATTACACCTATGACAGTCCTGCCCCATTCAACCAAAGAGGAGGAAGAAATATGTACAGAACTAGAAAATGGAAGGCAAAATTATAATCACAAGGAGATGATGTTATTTATCTTTGATGGGGAAACTATAACAGAATCAATAAGACATTTCAATCAAGTATAAAAATATGATGGCTTACAACTGTCTGTAACTCTAGTTTCAAGGGATCCAATGCCCTCCTTTGGCATCTACAGACAATGCATACACATGACACACAAGCATACATGGACACAAAACAAAATAAAAACAATAGCCAAGTCAGGCATGGTGGAGCACACCTTTAAACACAGCACATGGGAAGCAGAGGCAGGCAGATCTCTGTAATTCTGAGGCCAGTCTGGTCATTATAGTGGGTTCCAGGCTAGCCAGGACTACGTAGCAAGATACTGTCTCAAAAACAACAAGAAGCCAGAACAGGTGTTGTGGCAAATACCTATATTCATTCACAGCATTCAGAAATTAGAGCAGTGTAGTGAGCAAAAGACCAATTTATTCTACACAGTAACATTCCAGCACACCAAGATTATAATCACGACCCCATCTCTAAGGAAAGAAAAGAAAAACAACCAAAATTCAATGGTCTTTCAATATAAAAAATTAGAAAATGTAATGAAAAGAAAAACTTACTTACAATGACAACAAAAGATACAAACATTATATAAAAATGTATAAAATCTATGAGGCATGATAACTCATGTTTACAATCCCAGCACCTAGAAGACTGAGGAGGGGTATTCTGAGTCTGTGGCAGGATTTGAAAAAAAAAAAAAAACTTTGAAAAAAAAAAAAGTACCACATCTATATAAAGACAATTAAAACATAGCTGAGTGGCATGATTTCTTTTTAAAGGAAAGACGTACCCTCTTCTTAGAGAAGATTCAACATCATAGTGACTGCTCCCTAAATGAGTTCCTAACTGTAATGCAGTCCAAACAAATGCCATGGGGAATGTGAGCACACAACAGCAGAGCCACACACAGACAATTCCAAGGCAAAAGCCACTAAGACACATTTGTGGGAAACACATCCCATACAAAGTAACTTAAACTGTAGCAGTCACAGAATAGTGTGGCACACAGAGGTCACAATAGCAACTGGGGTCTGGAATAGAATCAAATACAGAAAGACTTGTAAAGCAGCTGCGTGCTGATGGAGCGTGACTAGGCATCATACTGCTGGCGGACACACACACTGGTAAAACCCACTAACAGATCAAGGCTGGCATTAGCTAGTAACACAAAACTACAAATCCCACTTCCAGGAATTATTTCTATACATCCACATGTGTGTAAAGGACCTGGAGAATATTTCACAGATGTCCAGAATTTTAACTGTTGTTTGCAGCAAGATACTGGATGGACATATTATGTAAACGGCACTCACTGATATGGGGATGGCTCAGTAATTTGTGACACACACATAATAGAAGGCAATGGGAGGAGAAGGGGTCTGAGCTACATGAGACCCTGCCACAAAGCAGCAAAACAAGCGAGTACAACCAGGGCAGGTCAATGTGGCACAGTGAGAAAACACCCCTGGCTCAACAATGACAGCACTACTGCAATCCAGGAGGACTGACTGAGGTTGGCCTGGACCACAGCCTTATCAAAAGAAAGGCAAGTGATAGCATACACAAACATCTGTGTGATCAGCACAACACAGAAACAAAGGACTCCACAGGAAACGGCAAAAAGAAAGTGTGTAGTCCTGGTTCAAGGGATGTGACAGGCTGCCCCTGAGGAAACACCCAAGTCAGCAGGCATACTGAGAGGGTGACACTTTGTTTCTACCCTATAGATCCTTGGAATTCTTTGGCTGTTTTAATTTTTAGACATGTTGTATCCAAACAACAATAATAAAAATCCAAAGCAATGTAAAGAAGGTATTATGTCAATGGTTTCTCATCAAGGGCTCAGAGAGCATGAGCCAGCAACTTGTGAGAGTGAAGGAAGAGCTCAGCAGCAAATCCAATTAGGGTTTGGCTTTCATGTTCTGCCTTGGGAACATTTACTCAAGAGAGGAGGATTTAGAACTCCAACCAGAGTAGTCTCCACTCAATACCAACTTTGTGAGCCTGCACTGGAGCTCCAGCGAGGAACAGTAAACATGCTAGTACAACAGGATTAATGTGCCACCATTTGACGATAGGAGATCCTGACATTTCAAAAGGTGTTCCTACACAGACAAGAAGAAAGAAACACCAGTTCCTCGCAGGGCATGAGTACTTGAAACAGGATGGAAGTGACGTTAAAAAAAAAAAAAAAAAATCAGAGACAAAGCCAAAATAACTGGGAGAGCAGACGCTGAAGGTGCCTACTCCACACCAAGCCAGGGTCCAAGGCTGGCTCCTTACAGCTTTCAGGTCCCACCATTTTACGATAAATTACAAGGAGCCAGACTAAATACAACTAGAAAAAGAGAATTAAATTGAGGCTTACAAGGGACAGACGGCTTAGCAGTTAAACAGCCTGCTATTCTTCTTCTATACACAAGCATGCATACGAGGTAGCTCATGGTAATTCTGCTCCTAGGGATCTGAAACCCTCTTCTGACCTCCACAGGCACCAGGCATTTTGAAAAACCTAACATGCAAACAAAACAACCGTACACATATAGTGAAATATATAAATCTTTTAAAAGAAGCTTATAAAAACTTCTTTGATTTTCTTTTTCTGGAGACAGGGTCTTGATTGTGTAAGTCAATTGTCTTCGAACTCACTATCCTCCCAAGCCTCTGCCTCCCAAGTGTTGGAAGTGCAGGCATGCTCTGTTTGGAAATCCATTTCTACAGAACATTTCACAACTAAGAATGAATTCTATGTTTATCAGTACTGATAAACCCCACGTTAAAGAGAAAGTCCGGCTCTCTCCATTTAAAAGCAAACACACTAAAACCTGTATGGCTGTAACTTAACTCCACGTTATGTACAACAGATACCCAAAATACGAGAATATATACACAGGGGCCAATCAAAGCATGTTAGAGTATTTTCTATCAAGTAATTCTGTAGGAGGTCCAATGCTGGGTACTGTGTAAGACGAAGGCCCCCAAATAAGACAGGAACCAGAACAAAGCTTCACCACAAATCATGGCCCAGATGACAGAGCTTCCTCTCCAGAGTCACACAGAAGTTGAGCTGGGAATCTATGCCCACTGGTAATTCAATATGGCCATGTTTTTTTACTCTGCTACACCACTAGAGTCATATAACACCCACACTTTGGTGGTGGGCAGAGGATGGGGAGTCAAGAAAGTGAAATAGGGACAACATCTAGCACACTGGAGGCATTCTAGTCACATGCCCTACACATGGGCAGTAGTGACTGTAATGTGTTTGCTCTATTCCACTCACGCTCACACACATCTTAACAGGAAGAGAACACAATGCTGAGTGCAGACAGACCCCACTACTCTAGCACCAACACTAGCGTTCAGCCAGGCAGCAGCGTGGGCATAACGGATTAGAGCAGGGAAATGCATTTTCTGCTCACCTGTATTTTTGATGTCAGAGCTTGAAGAGACTGGACCACAGGGATGCAATAGGCAAGAGTTTTACCTTTTAAAAGAGAGTAACATCAGTTGGGATGCAAACAGGTTCTGCTTTCCATAAATAATGCTGAATCTTGGAGAAGCTAAACTCTGTTCCACATCTAAGAGGCATTTTGTCTGTCTGCCGTGACTCCTACCTTTGCTGTGTAATTCAGTACTTCAAAAAAGCCCTGAAGCCTCAGCTCATTAGGTCATCTACAAGGGATATATGATGCTTCTCACATTTGACAGAAGCTAGCCTGACAGTTGTCTGTGGAAGCTAGGAAAAGGCTGATCCAAAGTTCTCCCTCAGCTAAATGGCTTCTGTGGTGCTGGTGTGCTAAGCATGAACCTAAGCCAGCCTTTGAAGACAAAAGGAAGCTCTGGGCTTCTCATCATGGCTGAGCTGGCAAGAAGGCAAAAGTGTGTCAGAAGAGCAGACCATGTAGGAAGTGGTCCATCCCTGACGCCAACTATGCTCAGGCCAGAACTGCTTTCAAGCCATAAACTGTCACTCCATCCAGAATGAAGGCTGGCCACTATGGCAGCAGGCACATAAGAAGCAGCAGAGCTCAACTATGAATACTCTCTCACTACTCCTGACCACAGCACCATTATCACCTTCCTTCCGTTATGACAACTTTAGGCCTCCCATCAAAAGCAAGCATGGCTGCCCGTCCACAGATAAGACAGAACAGACTTTGCCACCCCAAACACCTTCCTGAAGAGCCTAGCATGTGCTCATGTACTACATGCCTCAGGATAAAGGGAAGGGTAAATAAACAGCAACCGACCTGAGCCCGTCTGGGATTGCACAAGGGCATCTCTGCCTTCCAGCAGCACTGGGATACTCTGCTTCTGAACACTGGGGCACCCAAAAGAGAGAACATACTTCTTTAACACATGGCTCCGTCATGCATGCAGGCACACAAGTTACTTGACATACAAATAACCTGAGTTTGCCTCTGCCTACTTCTGCCTAAAGGTTCTTCATTAAGTGAAAATGCTAAGAACATTCTGACAATCAAAATAAACTTTTTTAAACTCCTGAAACTTGGCTGGAAATGAGGAGGAAAGCCAGAGATTGCCTGCAATATTAAGCTAATTAAAAAAAATTTTTTTGGCCAGGTGTGGTGGCCCAAGTCTTTAATCCCAGCACTTAGAAGGCAGGGACAGGTGTATCTCTGTGAGTTTGAGAACAGCATGGTCTACAAACCAGGTTCTAGGACAGCCCAGGGCTACACAGAGAAACCCTGTCTTGCAAAACCAAGAAAAAGGATAGGCATAACAACAAATCAGTCTCTGCCAAAGTATACCACATACTCTCCTGCCTGCTGTGGGGCATGGAATTGGGAACATGTAACCCAGTTTAGATTTCCACACAGAAAAGCAAAAAGGAGGCTTGCAGGCCACCCAAGTAGCAGCAGCAGCTCCCTCTAAGAAACAAGCCACATGTAGTGAGAACAGTATCTACACATATATTAAAACCCAAACCCAAAATGAACAGACAACTCATTTAAATGTGATTGATCCAGCAAGCAAACCAAACCAGAAACAGTACACATGCCTGTAATCGTAGCATTTGGGAAGCTGATAAAAGAGGAAGATAACTTTGAAGACAACTAGGCTATGAGACTATCTCAAAAAGGCCAAACAAAATGGAAAAAGCTGGTGGTTCTTTAATCTTCTATATTCTTGCTTTTTGCTTATGCAAAGTGAACTATGACTATACAGCTAACTACTCATACTTTAACTCTGAATTTCTCTTTTACAAGTGTCTCCAATGCAGCAAGCATTAAAATACCTTTTCAGTATCCCACTAAACCCAAGTAAATATTTACTCCAATTCTTTTGGTGACCTTATTTTTACTGATAAGAAATAACATGATTAAATAGTGTATTTTGGCCCAAGTAATTTTCAGAGATACCCTGATAACAGATGTCCTAAACCAGCTATGTCTTGCAGTAGGGAGCTGAGTGCTGGAATGGAAGAAAACCTTGTCTGCTTTCAAGCAGGTGAGTACGGGGGTGGGGTCCCCATAGGCTGAGCACTATGTCAGCCCTCTGTGCTTAGCAGTTTGTGTTGCTTCCAGCACCAAGACACAAATGTGCTCTGCCTTCCAAATACAATTGGAATTACAACTGGCTGTACTCTAAAAAAATCAAGAATAGCCTGCAACCTCTTACCTGGTCATACGTGACATTTTTAAAACTGTATTTATTGTGGAAATCTAAAAGAGAATATGAAAATAAATATTTATTAATTTAATGAAAACATACTCAATGACATAAAGATAAAATGCTGGAGTGACAACTGCACTGGACATTTATAATTAAATTAAATCCCACTAACCCAGTATTTCCAACTGGGGGTGACCCTGCCCTCCCTTGTGGCATGTACAGGGTCTCTGGTTCTTACAGCTGGGTTGCTTCTTTGTAGACTTAGGGTGCAGTTACAAACTGACAGTGCACAGGCAACCTTCACAACTCAAACACACATAATACTCAGGCTGAGAAACAATGCAGAGCCTACAAGAAAGAGGGGGTCAGTTGTACCCAACTGAAAAGGAAATCCAGCCTTTAATGGGAATGTTTTTTTTCTTTCCTTTTTCATAGTAACTACAAAACTCATTCATGGTATTAAACAAAAGGGGAAAGAAAGATGTCCATTTGCTTGTAGAAAATACACTTCAAGCAGCCTTTTCTGTCTTCATTCTCTAGAAATGTGCACATTCCTTGACAATAAGAAGCCAGCTCAACTCCCTTTCCAAGGCTACAGAGACATCTGCTACCATAGCATCACCACGTCTATTCAGAAATTAAAGCTGCCTTAAGCCCAAAAAATGAAGTCCAGAGCTTCACAATCACCAGGAAGAAGAGAAGGAGGATGGCAGCAACCCGTGCTGCTGTCAGGGAATGACCCAAGGCCAGGCGCAGAGACAGACTGAACAAGCACAGACAGTAACACCCTGCAGAGCAGTGTGGGCACTTACTAGATGCGGGTGGAGGTCCAGCTCCTGGAAAGCTTCTAGAGTGAACACTTGCTCTCGAGCCTGCTTCACTACAGTTCTGCAGAGGAAAGACAAAGTGTGCATCAGTGCCAAGGCGGCAAAGGAGAAAGCAACACCCGTGACCGCTCACATCCGAGCCACCGCAAACGCACCTGTGGAGTTCTGGGATCTCAGGATTGTTTTTAAACAGCGACGAAGTCTTGACGCATGGCTTCTCCTCTTGCTTTCCACTGCCTGTACTATCCAAATACTTCTTTGGAGGAAATATTTTCTGTTCACTCCCCTTAAATGTTCTCTGAGTTTCTTCATCACTGGTTTTCTTGGCTGAAAGAGAGGAGATTTCATCCCTCCGTTTTGTTGGTGGAGCCTCACTGGATACTTGGAGCTTTCTCTTGGTAGCCTCTGCTTGCTGTGTTGTTCCCAAAAGGAAAGATAAGAAGAGGTGCATTAGTCCATGAAGACAATCCTCAGAGTGAAGCCTGACTGCCCACAGAATGTGTCTCTTCCTGCAGAGATCATTATGCCCCATATGCCAACCATCAGTTTAGGGTTTAGCACCAGATTCTTTGGCTTCATCTGAAATGGGGGTGGGAGGAGACACACAATGTCAGTCCATTTATCTAGAAGGCCTCCATCCATCTCAACTATTAAGTCACTCAAGATGAGAGCAGGGACCAGGAAGAGAAAAGTGTCCTCCCAGTTGATTTTAACCAGTTCAGTCTGTTCTAAGGGAAGCAAGAACTAAGCTTGTGAAGCACACGTGCTTACTAAATCAAACTGTACCCCTAGGAGTCTGTTTTATGTGAGAACAGAGGCACACAGGGAAAAAATCTGTTCTTTTCTACCAACAAAGATGTTAAGATGAGACTGGAAAGGTGAATGGGATGTTGAATTCCAACGCGTGCCCAGGAAGCGGAAACTGTCATTACTGTTCTTCCCCAGGGCTTGGATCTCTACCCTCAAGCTGCTCAGATTCAGATGGTCTGGAGTCAGTTCCGACTTGCAGTCCCCACTCCAAATGAGAGTGTCGCTCCATCCATCACTTCCATCCTATTATTTCCAACCTTCCTCTCCTTCAGAGTCCTGCCTGATTGCTGATCCCAGACATACACCATCAGGCGCTTCTCGCCTGTTGCTTATTCTCACAACACGAATGTGATTAAATGAATGGTGCCCAAACTTCCCCTAGAACAGCAGCTCTCAACTCCTTTGGGAGGGTCAAATGACAGGGGTCATATATCAGATAGTCGACATATCAGATGTTTATATATGATTCATAACAGAGGCAAAATTAGTTATGAAGTAGTAATGAAAATGATTTAATGTTGGGGGTCACCACAAAGTGAGGAACTGTATTAAAAGGCTGCAGCATTAGGAAGGTTGGGAACCACTGTCCTAAAAGAAACATCAGATTCTTCTATTTTCCTTGGCCTTTCCTTCCAATCTGCACAAGGATATAAGAGTAGCCAGTGTCTGAGTTTTAGAATATATTCTTTTCCTCTTTACTTGAAACAATGACATCACACTGACTTGTTTTTATCAAGTCTGTCTGCTACAGACCCTAACCTACCAATAAAAAGGACAAATCTCTTGGCAATCATAACACAATTTCAAATACTTAATATTAGTAAAGTATGCCTACTTCATCTTAAAATTTGTTTTTGAAAAGTCCCAAGTTTGAGAATTTTCAGGTTAAAAGAAAATGTAGTCAGCTTTCAGGTCTTCTGGATCATTTGTCAGAGAGCACAAATCTGGAAGTCTCACCTGACAGTCACAAAAGGTCTGACGGTCTCCCTGCCACAGGTTTCTTTGTTTGTTTGTTTTTAATTTTTTTTTTTTTTTTTACCACAGGTTTTTTGAGCTGGCCTAGCAGCCTCTGCCCACAGACCTCCTCCACTCAAGAGATAACTTGTTCTGTTTCTGGCCAATCTCAAGTTCAGGAAGCTTCTCCACCAATCAAGACAAGCCCTGCCTCCTCAAGCATCCAGGCACCACTATGAAGAATGCTGCTACAGCAACACAGAGTAAACTTACCAGCTCCTTTACACACCTTCTCTTTCCCCTACTTTGTACGAAACATACCAGGCAGCACACAGACTTTAGACATCACAGCATTCTACTCACCCTAAGTCAAGGTCCTTAAGAGCAAGCACTCAGAAGCTAGCACAGTGGCTCGCACACACAAGCCCAGCACTCATGAAACTCAGGCAGAAGGGATTCTGAGTGCTAGGTCAGCCTGGGCTACAAAGTTAGTTCCAGTCTACCAGGCTATACAGTAAGCACAAAAACAACAGTGCTCAAAGTAAAATGAAGCATGTTCTCCACTGCTATTAGGCTAACACTGAAAAATCGGCAAGGAGATCTAGGCAGCCTCAAGAATACAGCCTCTAACAGCCTATGGCAGTTCAGTATCCACAAGGCCTCCATAGTAATGGGGACAGGGACTGTCTCTAACATGAACTGATTGGCTTGCCCTTTGCTCACCTCCCCGAGGGGGGAGCAGCCTTACCAGGCCATAGAAGAAGACAATGCAGCCACTCCTGATCAGACCTGATAGACTAGGGTCAGAGGGAAGGGGAAAAGGACCTCCCTATTCAGTGGACTGGGAGAGGGACGGGGTGGGATTGGGAGGGGTGGAGGGAGGAAGGTACAGGGGGATACAAGTGAATAAACTGTAATTAATAAAAATAAAAATAATTTAAAAAAAGGATACAGCCTCTATCCATCTCCTCAGCTTCAAATTCATCTTTACCCTTTGTCAGTCTTTCCTAAATTCCCAGAATGTACCACGCTCTTCCATGAAGATAACACTGGGAGAACTAATTAACTATATCCTATTTGCTTGGAAAAGGCTACATCAAAATGTTAAAAGTTATTTCTAGCAACAGCAACTATAGGTGGGGTCATATCTTCTACTTTTCTTAAATGAAACTATATTACTTTATTAACCAGAAAACATTCATAAGAAAAAAATATTTTCCACAGTATTAAGACAGAGCAATCCAATTTAAGCTATGAAGGTCCTTCCAAATAAAGTCTATTAGCTACCCACATCGAGTTTCCACTTTGAGCAAATCTGCTCAGCATATCTTCCGCTCCCATCTGGATACAGAAACAGAAACACAAATGCAGTCAAGGCCTCTATGCAGTTAAGGTACTTGCAGCATCTTTATTGTTTTGTGTGTGAGAGCATATAAGTCATAGCTAGCATGTGGAGGTCACCAGAGAACTGTATTATCTCTTGACCAATCACTTTTGTTTGTTTTTTTGTTTAATGACAAGTTTTTTATTTACATTTTTCTTTATTTTTTTCAAAGATGTACTTATTTATTTATTTTATGTACATTAGTATTTTGCCTGCATGTATGTCTGTGTGAGGGTGCTGGATCTTCTGGAACTGGAGTTATAGACATGTGGATGCTGGAAAACCCAGGTCCTCTGGAGGAGCAGCCAGTGCTCTTAATCCCTGAGCCACCTCTCCAGCCCTGACCTATCACTTTCGAAACAACAGTTGAAGTAACTGTAAAACCAGACAATCTGTTCATGTGATACAAATTTGGAATTTTCTTCTTTTTGTATAGCTGAGAATGGAACTCAAAAGCCATGCGGAAACTAAGTGAGCAAGGTACATCCTCCTCCTACAGGGCTGGGCATATGACACAAGCACCAACCCGATACAATGTTGCTGATTTGATCTAATAATACAGCCATCAACTTCCTCAGATGTAAACAATATTGCTTTTATTTTGATTACTGACACTTAGCAATTACCTGCCACTGGAGCCTCCTAACAATCTTCTAATAAACAAATTAGTGTTCCTATTTATGGAACTAATTCCCCCAAGGTCATATAGTCTAGTGTGTTGTGAAGCTGGCATTTAATAGCCCAAGTCTATCCTACTCTATGTAAATCTTATGCCCCGTCCTCCACTATCCTGAGGGTTGTCTGTGTATTTCTCCTCCCACATATCCCGCTATACCAATGGCTTGCTGAAGACTCCTTATTAAGCTTATTAAGGTTCTTCCTTCCTTCTACTAAGGTGAAACTTAAGCAGTGAGTGTTAGTCAAAGAAATTTACCTTCAAAACATTGATTGACCTGACCTGACCTGACTGGCAATTTGCTTTTCAATTTCAATGGAATGACATTATTATATTTTGGATGTGTACATGGTGTGGGGGATGAAGCCTCCTATCACATCTTTTCAGACTTTCTAGAGGATAAACCGGCAACCCCTAAAACCAGCTTTTTGCTCCTGTAGAGTTTAAGTCACTTCTCTCCTCTCTGGAGAATGGATTACAATGCCCGTTTCATGAATAAAAGCCTCTGGCTTAAAAGCTCTTCAAGGAAATGAGTCCACTCTCCATTCCTAACAGAAATGACCCTTCTCTTGCAGCAGAAGGCTCAGGAGTGGTAAGACATGCCAGGTATGTCTCAGGCACTGTTTTCCTTATAAAGCCAGCCTCCGATCCTCACCTATTAGTGCCCCAACTAGTCTCAGGAAGTTGACCGGTTACTATACCTTCAATCCTAACCCTATCTAACCAGTTCTTCAGCTAGTCTCAGGAGCCCGCCCGGCCCTCGCACCCAAGGCGGAGTTCCCGACTGACCCACGTGTTTCCGAGCGCCGCCCGCCGGTCCCTCTAGACATCCTTAAAAACCGTATCCGACCTAATCGGCGCGGCAGCTCCCGGGCTGGGTTTGAACTCACCCGCTTCATCTGGACCTGGGGACGTCCGAAGCACGTCCTGGGAGACCGGCTGGGGAGAGAGTTGCAGACGGTAGCCATGGCCCGGGCGCAGAACCGCGGACGGAGCAGAGAGCCCGAGCAGCACGTGGAGAGTGAGGTTCTTCGCAGCTGTTGCCCGGCTGACGCTGCCTCTTCCGGGTCCGGGAGCCGCAGCAACGCGCGCAGCGGCCGTAATCAAGAGGCCCCGAACCCCCTCAGAAACCGGAAGAGGCCGCGCGCCGCCCACTCAGCGGGATATCCCTCAGCCACCACGCTGGTCTCAGCATCTCAGTCACCCAGAGGAGGCTCGCTCTCCCGTAGGTTGTTAGTCGGGCCTGGCATCCAGCGTCTAGGAAAGGGACTCACCGGAGCTTCCGCCTTCCCCGCTCGGCCCCAGGCGCGCCGCGGGTCAGCCCTCCCGGAGCGCACTTTCCAGACAGGCAGCTCCGTGGCCACCTAGCAGGGTGGCGTTGCCTAGCAACGGCGGGGTCCTTTCTGGCTCGGTGGCGCTCGGGGCCTGAGGGGTGCGAACGGCCGCGGAGGGCGCGGAGGGCAGCGCCGTAGTGCAGGCGGCGGCCAGTGGACGGTGGCAAGCGCTCGGTGCGCCCGGGAACCCGATCTCTGCGCACCGGGGAAGATGAGCGAGGCGGAGCAGGCCCGGGTTGGGCCCAAGGCCGACGAGCCCTCGCCGTCTGCAGAGGAGGAGGGCGAAGGGGGCGGGAAGGAGCCGGCGGCCGACGCGGCCCCCGGGCCCAGCGCCGCGTTCCGCCTCATGGTGACGCGGCGGGAACCTGCGGTGAAGCTGCAGTACGCGGTGAGCGGGTTGGAGCCGCTAGCCTGGTCTGAGGACCACCGCCTGTCTGTGTCCACGGCCCGCAGCATCGCCGTCCTGGAGCTTATCTGTGATGTGCACAACCCAGGCCAGGACCTGGTGATCCACCGCACGTCGGTGCCTGCACCTCTCAGCAGCTGCCTCCTCAAGGTAAGTCACCTCCACGGCTCAACCTCGGGCTCACCGCCTGTGGTTTTCCCGCGGACGCGTCATGGATCCCAAGGGAAGCCTGTCCTGCACCTGGTTCTCGGAGTTCCTGCGCATCCAACTCTTAGGAAGGAAGGGATCAGCATCACCGCAGCTTTTAAGAAGCCTTACAAGCTGTTGCGCTATTACCGCCACCCCTCCGCACACACACCGATACAAGCCCCCCGCCTCCGAGCCAGGTTCCACCATCCAGTCTTTGATTCCTGAAGGGGCAGCTAGCGCCGATTGCACGGGTGCTTTCTGAGACTCCTGTGACTCCACCCCCAGTTGACCCAACCCCAGACCTACCTCTACCGTTGCTTCTATTGTCTGAAGCCAACTCCCCGAGACACAGGGTTGGCTTTGTTTTTATACGGTATTGCATGCGCCCTCCTCTCGCGCCAGTTTTGCTTTGAGAAGAAAAACTGGTCTATTTCGTCGTCTTACCTGTTTGACGATTTCATTGTGAATGCTCCTTGTGTAGACAGGTAAATTGTAGTTTATATTCTAAATATTTGAAAGTGGGACGACAAATAGAACCTCAGAGAACATCCAGTGGTAAGACTTCCATGTGCAAGGTCTCTGTAAATTTAGTGCCTTCAGCTTCATATAACCCAAGTCTGCACCCGAACTTTAGGGTTCCTAAAGTTTTATTGTATTAATGTAACCATTTTCAAACACCGTTTATTTTAAAGTAGTGAGTTATGTTGTGCCTAGAAATGTGAAAGTTTACTTTTATTTATAGTTCTGTATGTATATGCAGGACATAGTCTGTCAAAGTGTGTGAGTGAGTGAGTGAGTAGATGAGTAGGTGCCCACCGAGGTTCTAGGATAAATCAGGGTGGAGACAGTCGCTGCCCTCAAGGAACTTACGTTCTTTGTCCGATCATGTACAAATAAATGTAGTCTAGTGGCAAGGAGTGCCAAAAAGCTATGTACACATGTAGTAGTATGTTTATTTGAAAGTGAAGTTTTCCATACTCTTCTAGGCAGCCATTCCAAATTCCAGCCTTTAGTCATGGGTAGCTTTTGAATACTCCTCATGAACCCTCTTTAAGCACACTTAATTCAAATTTCAAACACTGTGTTGAATTGGATACTATTTCTTTCATTTTGCTCCCCCCCCCCTTTTTTTTTGAGACAAGGTTTCTTTGTGTAGCCCTGGACTCACTTTGTAGACCAGGCTGGCCTCAAACTCACTGTGATCTGCCTGCCTCTGCCTCCCTGAATGCTGGATAAAAGATGTGTGCCAGCATTCCCAGCTGGCTAACTTGCTTTCTCTCTCAATCTCTCTCTCTGTTTCTCTTTCTTTCATAGCATCTTGACCTTGATAATCCTGCCTGGGATTACAGGTTTACAGCTTAAATTAGGTAGGTAGTCACCTTGACTGACTGAGCCATGTAAGCTCCTCCTAAAGAAGATCTGGATGAAACGACTCAAATATGAACACATTCGGTAGGTGCTGGCAGTGCTGTTTAAGTTATCCACATAGGAGGGAAGCAAGCAGAAGAAAGGTGCTGAAAAAGAACTTCCTATTTCAATAGTCACTGCCCACCAGCTAGAGAAAATCAGTGTCTATATGGTAAAAACTGAATGTTTGACAGAGAATTTACTCTTAAGGGGAGGCACTTACATCAATGTCACTGAGTCTCTAGCAGTCCTAAGAAATGATAGTGTTTGGTTTATCAAGAAACTCAAAGTCCATCCAAGATGTCAAGTGAAACATCCAGTTTATGCACACACATCTTTAATCATGAGTGACTGTGTATAACTGTTGCCTAAGTATTGATGGCTCACCTGGAGCTGAAGCATTTCATCTAGAGTCGGAGAAAATGACACCCAGTTTAGGATTAGAAAGGTTAGTCCAGGAAGTTTCTTGAGTGCTATTTCAGTTTCATGAGGGTAGAATGGTCTGGTATAGGTAAGGAGTGTGAGACTGGCCTGGGCTAGAGGTAAGCAAATGATTGCTGGGCTGAGGATAAAAGAGGGGGTTAAGAGACTGGGCTTTGGTACAAGATAGACCTATCTATAAAACATAAATACTAAAGCCTACCTTGTTTAGGCTTTATGGAGAATTGTGTTTAATACATACATAAAACATCGAGCTGGGCTGGTGGCTCATGCCTTTAATCTCAGCACTGAGGGAGGCAGAAGCAGGTGGATCTCTTTGAGTTTGAAGCCAGCCTGGTCTACAGAACGAGTCCAAGACAGCCAAGGCTATATGGAGGAACCCTATCTCAAAAAACCAAAACCACAACAACATAAAGAAACATACAGAAAACATATAGCATTATCATTTAATGTCTGGCACTGAGTACATGTTAGTGCCTAAGACAAGAATATAATTCAACGCTTCAGGAATGAAGGAAAAGTCTGGGTTAATGTTTTAAGTGTGATTTGAAGGTGATACCAAGATTCTGATAAATTGACATTTTGCTACATGTGACATTTGCCACACTGTTTAAATAGTAGCAGAAATTCTATTTATATAGCCCTCTAATTGATAAAGAGTTTACATGAGAGACCTTTGTTGTTGCAATGGTATGACTATTCAGAGATCTGGCAATTCTGTGCCCTACATATTGATTGTCCCTAAAGATTTAAATGTATCCAGTATTGTCCTGATAGCTATTGCTTCAACTCAAATAGTAGATAATTTGTAATCTTGGGGAAGATTTTAGTGTGTGGCACAGCTAAAGCATTTTTGAAGCTGTTGCTCTGTGATTCTGTTAAGTCACAGCTTAAACATTGATCATCAGCTATTTGTAAGTTACTGTCTTAGATACTGAAACAAGGCAAATACATACATGCAGACAGACATTCATACATATAAAAAATTAATCTGAAAAAAAAAGAATGTCTCAGTTTTTTCCTGTTAGACTACAGATAGTGTTAGGACCGATGAAATGATGATGGACATATATTTTATATGAAAGAGGTTTATTACATAGAAGGAAAGAGCGAGACATGAGAGGGGGTGCCCCAACAGAGAAAGGAGAGAGAGCAGAAGGGCAGGAGAGTAAGAGGGCAAGAGAGGAACAAAGTGGTGGGTTGATCCTTTTAAGGAGCAACTTAACCCCACCTGCCAGGTGTGTGACACAGGGTGACATCATAGGTTTCTAGGCAGTCCAGAGGCAGGCTGCCTAAATACTAACATTTCACCCTTTTTCTATAAATTAAAAAATGAGCTTGGGCTGCTTCTCATGTAAGGCAAGTTAAAGTATATAAATTTAGGTTCATTGGAAGCAGCTCTTGGTTGCCATGCAAGGGGAAGAGAGAGAAGTAATAGCAACAAAATGTCCAGATTACTTGGTCAGGAGGAGCGGAAGCCTCTGCCCCGGAAAGTTCAGGGTAGAGGGTGGACTTGCCAGCCATGCCCAGCAGGAGATAGGGACTGAGGAATGCTGGGTGAACCCGGAGCTGCTTGTCCTGGGCCTGAAGCACACCATTCCAGCCCTTTGTTAGTAACAAGTGAATACTGGGCGTAGATTCTCTTCTGGCTACTTCCTGCTGACGCAGGCACTGTAGGGAGGTCAAAATGTTGAAGTGCTGGCCAAGTCCAAGAAGAACAAGCTGTTTTGATGCTGTCCAGGGTCTGTGAGAACATCCATGGCTGGGAGGGAAAGTGCAGGTCCAGCTTGATGGAAGTCTGTGAGGTCAGACTGGACACCTGAGGTAGCTGCTTTGGTGCTGTTGTGGATGTAGGAAACACTTGGGTCTGGCAGGATACTGAAGGCAGAAAACAAAGTTAAGGAGGTTATGGAGAAAAATTCTTTAGGTGTACATTTAAAGCTTTTGGGAGAGTGAACAGAGGTGGAAGGTTTGGATCAAAGAGACTTGAACATGGGAACCTCCATTTACCCAATCACTGGCAGTAATTAAAACATTTTGCTTTGGATCTGTCATCTAAGGAAATTGAGGCCAAGTTTGGTTACAGAGGTGTGTAAGCTTAGAGGCCCTTAAATCAGGCACTAGGTGTAGAAATCTGAAATTCTCTAGAAGACATCCCAGAGGAGAATCTGGAGGAACAGATGAATGAACTATTCCCATTGGGCAGGTAGGAATCAGTGACCTGTCAAGGCATCCCAAGAGCAAGGTTTGACTCAGTAGATTGGTATAGTCTGTTCCAACAGCTCATCAGCCTTGGCCAGAGACCAAGGGCACAACTAGTTTACCTAACGCTAGGATTTTCATAGATGAGGGAGGGAGGGAAACAGGGAAACCATGCCGGTAGAGGGGAAATCTTACCTGAGGGAGTAGATGGTCCTAGATGAAGGGTTTGAATGTAGGTTGGTGAGAGTGGTAGGAAGCGTTTAGTGCCAACCAGAAGTGAAGATTCACCAAATGGCTGGTGTTGGGTGTATGA